CAGGCTGTTAGGAGAGAACGACATCTATTTAAAAAAAAAAAAAAAGATGGCATCTCGTTTATTAAAATGACTCAAACTCACCACAACAGGCTTATTTGCGCTCTGTCTGCGGGTCTGCTAAATCGAAAACATTCTGCACCCATTAGGGTCGTGTCGTGACATAACAGGACGCTGTTATTTTAAGTATGCGATAGATATTTGATTTTGCTGTGTCCGCATGTTGTTTGAAGTATGTGCTCACCATGCCGACAGCGTTTCATTTAGAGAATGGTATGATTCACATAAAATGTACAGAGGCGATTTGCACCAGAAAACACCTTCTTAAGAGATGTCAGAGAAGAACGGCTAAATTAAAAGGTATCAGAAAAATACACTTTTAAATAATAATACTACACTGGTACAACAGTAGTGTACAGAAAGTTGTGCATTCTGGCAAGCCAATCTGAACTTAGTGGATATATCCAGAAATAGCAAGGTGTACCTAATAAAATGCCTACCGAGTGTATATTGTGCCAACTATGTTACTTCACTTTGGTGTTCTTTCCAGTCTAGATATCCATTGTTTGACCTCTACAGCTAAGACTTGAGTTGCTTTCCAGAGAGCAAGGAGGCTGAAACCACAACTGAACAAAGGCTGGTTTGATGGGGATGTTAAGGGAAACTCAGGATGGAAACATGGATCCATTGCAATACAATCACTGAAGAACCAAGACACACAGCAACCAAGGTTGAGGATGTTGTTAGGAGCTGTAAAAATACCTGCATAGAGCAGAGAGGAGGACATCACAAAAGCATAGTGTACAGCAAAACTGCCGCATGGTTGAAGTTTTTGGATATTTGAATCTTACAATTCAGGGTTTTCAAGAATAACATGTTTCTCATACTTAAATTCTTTTATACACATAATGATTATTGTATTGTTATTTTAACATTTTGCCACTCTGCTGTCAGCTGACTACTAAAGCATGCCGCTCTGCAGGTATGTGCAGGAACTGAAATAATGCTTTTCTTCTTTTTAATTTAGTGTAGAGGAACTTAAAACCTACTACAGTCCTATTTATAGCCTGTGAAAAAGTCATTTTAAAAACCTTAACACTTTGTCTCTATTCAAAATCTTGAGACCAAGATATTTGCCTTGCATAATACACTTAGTTACACAAAGCAAAACTTCCGGCTCAGATCTCATGGGAATTAAACCTGAATTGTATATTTCTGAAGTCTGCCAGGTCACCTGCAGTTACAAATGAGAGCGTAACACTCCCCGAAAAAGAACAGCAGTACCACCCTTGTAATTTAATGGACCTCACAAGGGATTTCCACAGATACTGATGGAGCCAAGTAACAGCAGAGAAAACATTTTCTATCTGTGACAGGCCACATTTTATCCCTCTCTCCTGCACATCCTCACTCCTTCCTCTACATGCTTAAGCATGCCTGTATGTGTCAGACAACAGAACACAAAAATTACTGCATTCGCTTCAAAGGTACGTTTAATTATAAAATAAATATGTATACAAGACAAACCTAGCACTGTTACTCCCTACATATTTACAGAGAAGGCAAGAAGTCAGGGACTTAAGGGGAATACAGAAACACGTCACATCTACATGCCAGGCATATAAAAGTACAAACCTGAACAGAAACCATGTTACACAATCAGAAACCAAAGTGTTCCTGACCAAAGCCGGCAATGTTCACATGTAGTCCACCATACATGTAAACGACCACAGAAAGAATTGCATTTCCTGAGCACGGGGAGCGGGCAAAGGATACATTTCACGCAACATTAGTGCAACATTCACATGCAGCTGAAAGGCGCTTTAATCTGAACAAGCTGTGGAGTTCCAGGTCTGGATCTGGTGCCAGCTGACCAGCAGGTTGGCACGTCCAGATCACCCGGCATTAACTGCCACACCATGGGCCATCCTGACCAGGACCAAAACAAACCCACAATCTAGTTTCACACTCCACAGGAAGTTCACACCATATGCCAGGAGATGCACTTGATCTTGAACTGTGTGTGAATTACTTTGGCAGGCACCCAAGTTTCCAAATGCATTAAAACATTGGTATATTCATATATCTGATCTAAAGATAGAAATCTTACCTTAAACACAGAATTCTAGACTCAGGGTTTCCATTGGTAACATTTGTCTGTGGCAGCGCAACACACCAAAACCTTTGCTGCCACAGCAAAAATAATAAATAATAAATAAATAAGGGAAAATCTACCCAGTCAGTCATCTATTCTAATGCCTCGCTCAGGAAGCCGGTTCTCCCCCCCCCCCCACGCATTATGGGATCCAGTAGGTTAACGGCACTAAAAGGCAACATCACGTCATCATTTAGTAGACATCCTAAATAAAATGAGCGTACTTCGCTATTTTCCAAGGAAAATAAAAACAGACAAGGTAGGTAAACAGAGCAGCCATTTAGCGACGTGGGGGTGATAGAGTCTTCCTCCTCGCTCTCTTATATCCCATTCACACACACACAAAGAAACCTGCTGCTATATTGCTTTTTACCGTTATGGTGTCACCTGAGAATGAGAGCAGAACCGTGAAGTCCACCCATTAACCAACCCCCTGGCGACCAAGTAACAGTAGCAGTAACTTTCTGAAGCAGCTCCGGTGTGAATGTGAAACCGTAACAGATTACCGTGTTTGAGGTGATCAGGGGGCGTGAGGTGGACTTTTACCCGACACATTATCAGGTTTCATATGCGAAAGGGGGTCACACACCAGAAGTGAGACACTTCCCACAACAAACCCACTAAATTTGACTTAGTCACGTACACAGTTAGGTTGTGGACAGTGCAGTTAGACTTAAGTTGAGTGAAGCACTGGAGACAGGCAAACTGTTGAGGACTTTATTTAGCAACCACAAAAAAAAATTGATATACAACTTTCACTGAGGCAGAGAGGGAACATGCCATCACTAAACACACACACACACACACACACACACACACACACACACACACACACACACACACACACACACCTCAGTCACATTACACCCACACCAAACAGGCTTGATCGACAGGAAATAGAGCCTCAAACAAAAGCGCCATAATATAGACACAAACAATAACACAAATTTGACAGCGACAGATGAATCATTTTGCAGGCATATCATGCAAAATCCTGTATATCTGTCAGTACGCAGACCTCGTGTCTTACACATTCCCAGCTCATTCAAAAAGTAAATAAAGCCCACCAAAAGATAAGGTAATTGCTTTTCCCTTTAGGGAAATCTTGGCAAGAAGTTATCGCCACATAGTATAATTTTGTAGTAGTAATGTTATTTGTTTTGCAATTGCACGGAAAACCAGATAGAAGATATACAATGTTGCAGTAACTTTGTACAACTTCCAAAAGCCATGTTTTTTTTTTTTTTTGAATTTGCCAATTTCAGATTACAGTATCGTTTTACCATTTGGTTAAAATAAAATGCATCTATACATAAACAGACTGGCATTTATCATCCCAAATAGCCAGTCATTCATGCGGATTGTCTTGTGCTTCTACCCACTCATCGTAGAGCTATGCACGCAACAATGGATATCGAACTGAGGACGTGGTCATCTAGATGAAGAGGATAGAGATTCCAGCCTCCCTGCTATTCTATAACTGCCCAAGGCATTTAACCAGAATTTCAGTAGTCAGCTGCATGAACGGGAAAATACTGCATATATACAAAAGTACCGCTGGAAACAAGTTAGTTTTGTAAATACCTGCATGTCTGTATACCAATATAGCTGTAAATTTACTGAAGACTGACAGTCAGTATAAGGTACTACTTTTGGACTTATCAGGCACATTCTTTAAATAAGCTCATATCTAAAAATAGTATTAGGTTTGGCTTGCATTTTTACTCATTCTGATCTGCAGTGCCTGCACGTGCTGCAATTGGGGGAACAATGATTAATAGAATTTCAGAGTAACACCATACAAACACATGAACTGGCAGGAATGCCGACAACACCACTAATGATGTCAGGATGGGGAAACCCCATTTTCCCGAAACAAGGTGTTTTAAGGTTATCAGCCATACTAAAAGTTAAAAATCAGCCAGTGGTCATCAGAAATTCCTCATTTATAGTTGAATAGTTCCTTTTAAAATTCTACTTGTTTTTGCCTCCTTGTGATGTGGAAGGTAAGCTTTCAAAGAGATTCCAGTGCAGGAGAAACAGATCGGGGGGGGGGTTGGTAGGCTGAAAGGCTCAAGCACATATCCATCCTCCACTGAGACACATCTAAAGTCAACTGATTATAGCATCATGGCTGCTCCTACGCACCCAAAGCACATGGAAGCATTCGTAAAGCAGCAAAGACTTGCTCTGAAAATGCTCTAGACAGCACAGGCATTAGATTTTACTAACTGCTGCCAAAACTACAGGCAATTAATGAGTCATTAATACTCTTGGTCTACACCGTGAGCAAACTACTTCAGGGGACAAACAATAAGGATATTTTCCAGGAAGTTATTGTGAAAGAGGGTAAATCTCAGTTCGGGGTGGAAATGGTTAACTGTTGGAGACTGCGGTCACCAACACCTTTGGGAGAGGCTGTTTACATTCTCGACATATTTAGATATTCAAAAAAAGCAAAAAAAAGGTTAAGTATGAATATGGGACTCTAGCAGAATGTGCATTCCTAAAGAAAAGGGTAAGAATCTGTGCCAGTGCCAACTCTAATTGTGCTGAACAGAATCAAACTAACACAATTAATTATGTTTTGCAAGGACCTCTTGTTTTGTTCTGCTCACTTCCCACAGCAAAAATGGCACCACTTGCAGTTTTACGCCTAAGCAAATTAAACAGTTCAACACTTGCCAGGAAGACGAAGGAGGCCCTTTCCTTAAACTGCTGTGCCTGTCTGAGGACTTGGACCTATAGCCATCAAGCCATTTTCCTTCAATCCTCTTCCTTGACCGCCAAACAGAACAGAATTAAGATAATTTCCCCACAGGGATTAATAAAGTTTCTCATCACCTACCCTAGTGTTTCCCAACCCAGTCCTCTGGGAACCCCAGACAGTCCACGTTTTTGCTCCCTCCCAGCTCCCAGCCAATCAGGAACGCCGAATGCCTGGTACAGGTGCCCGGGGAGCTGAGAGGAAGCAAAAACATGGATTCCCCGAGGACTGGGTTGGGAAACACTGACCTATCCCATCATGCTCTGCATGAGACACACAGACACATACAGGTGTATGCAAGCATCGAGGTCATAGTGCAGAGTCAGTCAAGCATGCAGTTTGGGATTGAGGACCTTGTACAAGGCTCCAGAGACATGTGACTATTTTGCCAAGGCCAGGGCTTGAACCAGTGACCTTCTGAGCACAGGTACAGTGACTTAGCCAGCTGAGCCACACGCCACCCATGCGAAGGATCAGCTTTTTAACCACAGAGTGATTTCTTCCACCCAAAACAGACCAGACACTAACACTGACCATAGGTCCTGGCACAAAGTCCATAAAATGTTATTTTATTTCTATATTTTACTATGCATGCAGTATCTGTTAATTAGCTCTTTCTAAACTGGAAAACACTGTGGGTGTTCTCCTGTTTTTAAAATAACGGATTTCACTAGTACTGAGTACCTAATAGCTCTATTAAAATTTAATAGCTCTATTAAAATTTTCAAAGGATTAACGTTTCAAAGAGTGTCATATAAATCTGACAAGTCCTCCCCACTGCTAGATGGCAGTGTGATTACACATCATTACTTTTCCTTGCAATAGATGTGGTTTCCATCAAGACCTGTAGCCAGGACTGTAATTTCCAGTTTCTAGCCATTCCTCTGGCTCCTACTTTGTGGAGCTTCCAGTACCTGTATGGCTTCCAAGCCTTCAGCCTGCCCTCCTGACCTAGTTAGCCAACTATATCCTGTTTTGCTTTTGTTTCCATCTTCCCTGCCCATACTGTTGTAAGTGAAGACAAAGCACCTGGGAATTGGTGTCGCAGCTAGAGGGGATGCCGATCACAATAAAACTGTTGGCTAGGAAATTAAATGTAAGGTGAACCTACACATTCCATCCAGCTGGAGTCAAAGCACGGCCAACTTAGATGCTGAAAAGGTAAATGGCAATATTACTCAAACCAAATTGTTTTTCACCCACTGAGAAAGGTTAAGATCTACTCCTTTTAACCCGCTTCTATTAAGTTCCTACTGCATTATTAACCTGTTTTTGATAGTTAAATAGATAGATAGATAGTCTTTATTGTCCTATAAGGATATTTGTCTTCACAGTCTGATCACCACAAACACAAGTACATTACAGGCCTCTGCCTGTAATGTACACCTGGAGGGGGGGGGGGGGTATCACCCCCAAAACCAATGATATTAACAGGCTTTTCTTGTACTGCAACCTTTTTCACCTCTATCTCTGATGACACTTAGTGATACGAGAAAGTCACTCCTTAGATGGTCAATCTATTTCTCACATCTTAAACATCAAGTAAAACGTGATCATGTCCCCTCAACGTTTTAGTTCAAAACGAGATCCTGAGTATCGAAGAGGTTTCAACTCAATCTCTCTGGGTACTTGTTAGGCAGACCTAATGTCTCTGGGTCTTGTTAGACAGACCTCAAGTAAGCCAACCAGTCAAGCACGACAAACAAAACAACATTTAGTCAATAACCATGACGAATGACGTTTAGTGTCACTAACAGCCAGATTTCTTTCGAATGCGGTCAACAAATACTCTCAATTTGAGAAACGCTAAGATGCACTTCCCCCGAAATGATTTCCAATAAGAGGAAAGACTACCATTACTATAAAATAATAATAATAATAATAATAATAATAAAAAGATTTAGGAGTTGATAACTTCGCCACACTTGGACTTCAAGTTAACAAGATAAAATCGCGCATCTAAACATGACGAAATATTCACGTCAGGAAGGCGAAACGGGCGGATAGGCGGGGGCGCGTCTGACTGCCGTTAACGGGACGAGGCGAGAGCGGGGATACTCACCGTGACTCCCCACACGCGCAAAGACCCGCGACCTTCGCTGCTTGGCCGCCATCCCAAGCACACAACAGCATTCTCACAGGAACCACCTCGGTTTAATCCCGGGGTAAATATCTCCCACGGCCAAGCAAGCAGCCTAGTTCCCCTAAAACCCGCACCAAGGAGCATTCCCCCCCAGCAGAATATCCGGGTACTGCGCTGTGACAAGTTAGTAAGTTAGCTGCCGGGCTACGGCTGCTCGGCACCGACTCAGAAGTCGGCTAACTAGTCACACCGACTTGGTTAAGTTAGGAAATAGCGGCGGGAGAACGCTGGGCCACGGTGGAACTTACCCATACTGTACTCAAAGGCGGGATCCCCTGTTTCTCGTGCCTGGAAGCTGCTATCGCCTGGCAGCCAGCTAGCCAGCTACTCAGTCGGCGTGTGATTTCTGACTGGCTGATTTTTGTTCATTAACCGCTCCCGACTGTCGTGCTAATCGCAAACTAAAGCCATTCGCCCGCCTCCGAAGTATATCCAAGTACGCACCAGCAGAGCGCTGCTTTTTCCTTCCTTTACTCGGTCGCTCTTGGGCGTGCTGCAAATTACGATGGAAGTTATCCCAAAGTCCCCACCTTCCCAGACTCGCTTTAAACTCCCACTGCCACACATATACAAAACGGAGACGATGAAACCCCGCGATATTTCAAAGGGACAATCCCGCGAGAACGTCTCCTTGGAATATTGCTGGTTTAGAGCTGTCCTCCCGGGACGCGCGGTCAGGTGCCAGGCGACAAACTTGAAGGTAAACATGAAGTGAGTATTGATTTGTGTTACAACGGTGAAAAGGAAATTAATACAAATACGTATTAAGGTATTTCTCACATAGGTGATGCATATTAATAAGAGAAAAACAGCAAGATTTAAATAAATATTTTACATACATAACATTAAGAACCCAAAAAGCAAAAACCACTATATATTTTTAGTTGTTTTATGCTTTTGTGTTACATGAAAACCTCTATTTTGTATGCAATTCTACTAGAACTTTCGCCGGTTAAGCAATAGGCTACATATTTAAATATGTAAATGTTTCAAATAATAAAAGTTAACTATTGAAACGTACAAATGCAGAAATCTGCAAATTTGTACAGCCTGTAGGCTTACAACTACATATATGGAATTATTTTTCTTTTACCACTATCTTTTCTGTTTATTAAATGCGGCTGCTAAACTGGAAATTTGAATTGCCTTATCTGCTACATATCTAAAACACCTCGATACAACTCGCACGCTTAACTCAATCGTCATCCTATTCAGGTGGAAAGGAAACACTACTGTGGTGAGCATAATTTGCATACCATTTGTTTTAACTCAGATTTTAAAAGAATGGCAAGTATCTTCAAGATGCTTCAAATAGACGAACTTCACTTACATCCTCCTATATATTATACATATATGTATAATTATGTGATTTAAAGGTCAGTAATGTATACTTTGGAATTAATTAATTAATTTGACTTAAGGATTTACATACCCAGATTTAAACCGACAGTAGCCTACTGGTGATTTGATGTATTCCCATCTATAACTAGTTGAACCCTGGTCCCAGATGTGTGAGGTAATACTTTTAACCATTGCAGCAGCCTGTCGCCCCTAGGTTTATTCATTTTCTGATATTCCATTAACCTACAAATTAAATTTTCGGACTGAACAAGGTTAAACAAAGAGACAAACAAACAAACAAATAACTTTTCGTGTGATACTCTTCTGTTCCGTAATATAGAGATAATTCTTATTCCTACGAAACGTCCGCCCCCTGGTGGTGGACTATTGATCTTTTAAATTATTTTTCCTTAATGGTCCTATCTTCCAGTTTATTGCAGGGCTTGTATAATAAGCACATTATGAGTAATGTAATGACAACAACTCGCCTAATCATATCTCTCCACACTGCTGCAGGAGACCTGGGTAGAACATGCAGATGTAGCACACGGCTACGGTATTTGACCTCTGTGTTGCATCAATAATGAAATATACACACGGGAGTCCATGTTTAATTTCCCTTGTTTAACACAGAACATGTGGTCGTCACCGGGTAAGTTTCTGGCTATTGAAAAAGTCATGAGCTAAGTCAAGTTCACCTGGGGTTAAGAAGATTGGCATCGAGGCTGCAATACTCAGGGCCAGGCTTAAAATACTCAGGGCCAGGCTTAAAATACTCAGGGCTATAGCCCCAAGTGATCAGACATAACAACACCCATGGTCATCACACACGGAATATCTCTCTCCTGCCCTATCAATGTCCGCGATGCATCTAAGGCACATTCAAGCTAGGGTCCAACATTGTCCCAACAACAACAAAATGTATGTCATATACACAAATATATGCTAGGAAATGAAATTAGTTTTGGGGTAGTTCACATGAACTAAATAAATGAACAACACTAAATAGTTACATAACCATGATTCAATGCCAACAACACACAAAACTCAACAAACACAAGCAGGACAGGATTCAAACCCCCAAGTTTGGAAGTGTGAAGTATTATTGCTACAAATTCAGCCATCCTGCCATCCGTGATAAAAATCATGCAGATATTTCATTTACTTGCAAGGTATTTTACATGTCTAGGTTAACTACTCTGCAACCAGACCTCATCCTTTGGTCTAACTCCCGGAAAATTGCCTACGTCATCGTGCTGACGGTACCGTGGGAGGATGCCATCGAGGAAGCCTTTGAACGTAAGAAGCTGCAGTATGCCAACTTAGAAGCTGAGGCAGAGGACAGAGGCTGGAAGATCAAGGTGTGCTCGGTGGAGTTTGGGAGTTTGGAGGCAGGGGACAGGGGACAGGCTCATCGACAGGCTATCAGAGAACTGGCCAACACTGCTGAGAGGACCAGTCACTGGCTGTGGCTGAAGAGGGATGACATCACTTGGGCAGCTACGGCGATCAGCTAACCGCGAGACACACGCCCAGGCTTGATCAACCTGTGGTGGGCCTGCCTCACCCTGATCACCCTGTAAAGCTGAGGCACACAACTGATGATGTGTCCCGCCGGAAAAGCCTCCTAGCTGCCATCTCTCATAGCAGCCATCCCTCAAGACTTCCCCATTATAAGCGATGCAAATATCAGGGATCATAACATCTAGTTCTTTCATTGAATTTGAATCTGACTACCTAATATTCTTATTCCTTCTTAAATTTATGAATTTTATCTTAAATGTATTATTAGTCAGGGTCCCATGTGTAATGCTTGTAGAAGTTCCCTCATAACTGCTTCTCCATTGCAGTCCATCACTGAGCCTATCCCAGTCCATCACTGAGCCTATCCCAGTATATCACTGAGCCTATCCCAGTATATCACTGAGCCTATCCCAGTATATCACTGAGCCTTTCCTGGTCCATCACTGAGCCTATCCCAGTCCATCACTGAACCTATCCCAGTCCATCACTGTCTGATTGTGCGAGTCCCCACAATGTGGTTATAAGCTGTTGTTATCCCACATTATGTTGTGGTAATATGTTTTTTATTTGGTCGCCACAATGGGAAACTCTGTGACTGCAGTCAAAAGGGACTGTCTGGTTTTTTTTTGTCTGGTTACTTATGGTAAAGGATGTCATTGTTGGGATTAGGGTTATGCCCATAGAAATGAATGGAGAGTCCCTACAAAGGTAGAAATACATGGACTGTGTGTGTGTGTGTGTCTGTGTGTGTGTGAGTATCCACATGCCTTTGGTACAATCACACTGAACCCTTTGCTTCCCGGGTGAGAGAATTTAATTGTATGCATTTCTTCAAATTAAATTAAAGTGAAAAAGGAAATTCTTCTGAAGTGCTTGGTGTTTTATTATTTCTTGTCACTATATGCTTCTTTAACAGATTTCAATCTCATATTTCTTTTATGCACACTATAAGGCTTCAATTGAACTTAAATGATTTTATTTAATAGGCTCATGATATATGGGTTTGATCATTTCTGCTGGTACATCAAACTATTTCTTCCCTTTATGTAACGACCCAGACATTTTGTGGAGCCAATTGATTTGCTCAAGTTTGTCATTTACTTTGGCTGCAGACCCTAATGATCCCCTGAATGCTTAGAGCCCGTGCATTCCAACTGGGAAACGTGTCTGCAACAAATGTTTAACATCCATATAATTACAAAATATAATCCTCTGTAAACAATGTTTTGCAACCTGTTTATTCCACCTTCAAGTCCAACTCATGATCAACTTTTTAACAAATGGAATCCAAGTCAAAGTGGAAAAGAGAATTTTCAACATGGTAATCAATAAAGTACAACAATAACTATAACTATAAAATGCTGGTTAGCTAGCTGGATAATGCTAAATAAATTTGTTCGCTAATTTTCCATACATGTGTTTATGTTTCTTTTCCAGATTTTAATAGAAACTGAAAGTTGTGCCAAACCACCTCTGTGATCAATGATTTGCAATATTTGTACTGTTATAACAGTGTCTTTCTATTCACTAAATGTCTTGCACAGAAACTCCTTATGGCTTATGCCTGCGAAATGATTTCAGATTTGGCAGACATGATGAAAATGGGAGTTCACTGCACAATGCTGAAGAAAACTGAAGATAATGTAAGAAATCTGGGGGCTGCATGCTGCATACATATGCTGTGGACTCAGATGAATCTGGTGAGTTTTTTTTCCAAGTAATGAGTATTTCATTATGAGTCATTACTGAGTAAAAATTCACTTGAGTGTGTGGACTCAGCTGAATATGGGGAGTTTTTTTTCGAGTAATGAGTATTTCATTATGAGTCATTACTGAGTAAAAATTCACTTGAGTGTGTGGCAACAGCAAGTCTGGGGGCGCCACTGGAGATTTTGGGCCCCATGAAAGCATGTCATATTGAGCCCCCAACCCAGACCAATCGAATTATGTTCCAAATATTTTTTTCACTTAGGGGACACTTGGAATAATACTAACTCCCCCCCGTAATGGTGCCCCTGACCGAGTAAATTAATATGTGGATTCAAGACCAGACTTGAATCTGACCACATGGTTCAGTTGCACTGGAGCCTCGTCCTCCAGAATGTAAGACAACTTGTGTAGGATGTCAGATATCTGCTATATTTTGCATACTGGACACACATCCACCCCACAGTGCCTCCTCGCACCTAGATAAGTTGAACGCCATCATCATCATTGTATTTTTTATCGTCCAGCGTGTGTGACCCCATTTGGCACTTCCTGCTGGGGGTGGACTTCGAGGTGATGCAGATTTTGGATGTCATGGATGCCGGAGTCTCAGATTACTCCATCAAGCAGCCATAGGTTATCTGCAGTGCAGTGCTGAGACACAGGGGCATCCCCAAAGAACCGGCTTAGTCACAGCCTCCCAGAGATGCGGTGCTTCAGGACTAAAACGTTAATGTTCATGTTGACCACCAGAGGGCATGGTTAAAGCATGTTTGATCTACCAGCTGCAGAAAGATTGGTTATGAGAAATGTACAGGATTAAGTTTCAGATTTTTTTTTGGTAGCATATCAAATTAACTGCAACATTTGGTCAGTAACAGAGCAGACAAATTCATGTGCTGTTAAAAAAAATCGTGTTATTTTGCCCGGCTGTAAGAGGTTAATTGTACACTTGCAATCAAATGACCATGAACAACAACTTATGTAGGCCTACTGTTGTTCTGTATTGGATAAAAAAAATAAACAACATTATGCATCTATCCTACGATGATCCAATTATCCAAAAAGAATCACCACCGTAAAGAATGAATTGCTAGGTGTATCAAATCAAAGTTTAAAATGATAAAATGCTGAACAGTACAGCAAACAGCGGTATATGCAGGCAATGAAATTAGCTCCTTAAGTGATATATAAGAGAAATACGTAAAATAGTAGATATAGTTTAAAACAGCAACAAACAAAAAAAAACCTCATACATAGATCGATAGATATATAGTTTGATTGATTGACTGATTGATTGATCGGTCAAATGGGAATGTGTGAAATGTCCATAGAAATGGTCTGGGATGCGTTTGACCTCGTTCGTAACCAATAACGAACAAGATTACGACTGATGTTTCCAGTGTTTCCCAAAACCCCTTCGTTATTCGAGATTTAAGAAACTTAAAGTATGCTAATTCTTCATTGTCTTCATCCCAGCCTCCACTGGAGAAAAGCACAGATTCTCGATAACAGCAAGATCGGTTCCACGTTCACTGGTTAAATGTATTTCATATTATTGTTACTACAGACAGGTGAAAATGTGAGGAAAAAAATCAAGAACCAATCAAAACACACGAAAGCTAATTAAGGTAACCTACCAAATTAATGTCAATTAAACCTATTAAAGACGGAATTAAATGATCATTTTATTCACAAATGTATAAGTGGGCTGAAACCGTAATATAGTTTCATGCATAAAAGAACAATGGCTAATATCGATAGGAATGAAACAGGAACAGCTGCCGATCGCTATGGGAGAGTAAACTGGAGAGGGGGCAGCTCCTACTGAAGAGATCAGCGCTGTAACAGAAGGAGAGGCACCACCAAGAACTGTTCCTGCCTAAGAAGGCCATGCTGCACATCTTGACCAGGCATCTTGCTCAGGCTGAGGCACAATTCAAACAGCCCTCCAGTTCAGTTCCTATTATATTCACCAGAGAGTAATCACAGCTGTTGAAATGAACCTAAATTAGTCCATTAAGGACACTTGTGTTGTGGCTGTGTCGGACTTCATGTATTCTTTGCAGACACACATGCACCAGGCCAACCAGGACTTGTTTGCTGAAGCCTCTTTAAACCCCCCCACCCCATTTTTTTTTGGTCTGCTAACTTCTGCACAATAACTGTGCAGAAAATGTGTGTGATGTCTTGCTGCAAACCCCACATTTTTAACAGGCTTCACCAAAGTGGAACAAGTGCAGCAGATGGCATATGTAAGCTGTCAGCTTGTCAGTGCGTCTGACTGCCCGGCTACAAGTGTGAGCAGGAGCCGCACCACCTCTCACAAAGCAGTTGTACAACAAATAGTTTAAAGGTCGCACAAACACATTTCTCATGCCCTCAGGCTTCTGATCCAGTCTGTCGTGTCCTCTCTCGCTACTTCAGAGTTCTGTCCTTGGTCTCATCCAGCTCTCAATACTATTCTGCATGTACAGGATAGCATGCATGTAATAACCCCACAGCAACACTCAGGGGAACCACCATCTTAGTGTGCCCCCCCCCCCCCCAAAAAAAAAACAGCAGGTGTTGTAAATGGATCCTCCACATACCCAGAGCACACTCTATGGCACTGTTCATTGATGGGTGGGGTACCACTCCTCAGCCATCGTTTGGGGATTCAACGCGAGTTGGCAGGTATTCCCTTCAGAAATACCTGCTGCTTCCCACTAACCAGCCACCAGCAAATGCATCATCCATTGCCTGCTGGACCAGATGTAAGCACTTGGTCATAATGTATAAAAATTTCCTTGATTTTTATATTTCGGAGTAGAAATATGGATGAATTAATGTTTCATCCAGTGTACCTACAATACCAGGTGTGTCTGCAATGGCATGAAAATAAATTTTTGTGTTTTTTTTGCAGAAAAACGTATGTGGCTGTGCACATGGTGCGATCTGGTCACTGCGTATACAGATTTGGACACAGCAGCCTTGCTGAGAACCCGTGCATCACCAACAGCCTGCAGGAATTCACTGATGATGCAGAAATCGAGAGCTGACAATCAGCGCAGTGGGACTGAGGGAGTGTTTTGGTCTGTTTCTCTTTCCAATTCATCGTACAACAGACCTCTGAGACGCCTGTATTTGCCTAATTATTGATTAATGAGATGGAACTTGCTGCGACCTGGGACCCACCTTGAGAATTGCTGGTTTATCTTACCTGCGCCTTAATGCATAACATTGTGACTGTGGTTGCTGGTGCTGCTGCATTTGTCCATTAACGTGTCTATGTATTTTCTCTGCTTTCTATCTCACAAGTCTGGGTGATGCCTGCAGGCATCTGAACTGGAGTGCTGCTTCAATTCCATGGAAGCTTCACATCGTGGATGCAGTCTGCAATCTGGCAACCCACTCAGGCTGCCATGGAGAACTAACTCATTTATGGAATTTGATTTTGAGCATGACCACAGTTTACACAATTATGTCACCATGCCCGGGGGGGAGGGGAGGCTGGACAGTCAGGTGACCTTGGACCCCCAGAGATTTTTTTTCACCCAGCTTGGGAGATTTCGGTTCCTCTCCTCTGTTGTCACCTGGCTTTCACCCTCTCTCTCCCTCCCTGGTTTTTTATATTATTCTGTATCTGTTTTATACCACACCCATGTAAATTGCCTTGGGGTGACTCTGCTGTTAAAGGTACTATATAAAAATAAACTGAATTGACAGGTCTGCAAAAATATTGCCCCCCCCCCAGGTATCTGAAGCAGCTGCCTCTCTCCATTGGTCCATTTCAAAGGAAAGACCACGATTATTTATCATATCCCAGATAGGATGCCAGTTCATTGCAGGCCACTCGCGCATATGCAAACAAATGACAATGTGTCAGCTGACACACATGCTCTTGGGCTGGGAGAGAGAACTGGAATCCGAATGAATGTGTTTAGTACTGATGACAAAACATTGAAAACTTAATCAAATGTTAGGAGAAAACAGCCGATTGCAAATATAATTAAACGCCCTTTAGACGTCATGTTTCTGGTTAACCACACAACGATCGGCTGGATGTAACCATTAGCCCGCGACGTCGCCCTCGTCCGCGAGTTACTTCCGCGACTTCCGCCGGCCAGACCGCAGACAGACACGTGGGTTTTTGTCTGTTCCATCCGTTTTCCTTCGACGACGGATGCAAATTCCTTCTTTTCAGCTACATATGGTCAGGTTTTCAGTTAATATCTTATATTCGGTAGAATACGGCATACAAAACTGAGGGCGAAATTTCTGAAACGTGGAAGCACTCAATTCAGTACTCGTGAAAATTAATAGATATCCATTATATGGTCCTTAAGATCTATATTCAATTATGTGATCATTTTTGTTTTAATTGTGTGTGCCGAGCTGGTTGAGGCATCGCGAATGCAGCGAAGGACAAGGAGACTTGGCTTGCCAGAACAAACAAGTTCTTTATTATAGTCCTGAACAGGACTGTAACAGGCACTCACGACCACCGAACTCTCCAACAACATAACAAAAACAAAAGTAAGTCGGACGCCGTATTATAAGGTACACACATGGTGGGAGATTTATATACAGCTACAGACACGCCAGGATCGTACAGGGTGAACATAAGACACGTGCGACAATATCGAGTGTAACTATAACCATAACAGTACAACGAGGGCTATTTAATTATATGCATTTCCATAAAAGCGTTTCAGGTAGACAAATGGAATACATAAAATTCACGTTGGAAAATCCAATCTAACATCTGCAATGTTTAATTTCAATAATGCACATATACTTCAATATATTGAGGATTTATTGAACTTTTTTGTCCCAAACCGTCATGTTTGATGCGTGATGGATATCAAGTCACCAGGGTTACCAACTTCGGTCAGTTGGCTGGAGTGAAATTTTCAATTCCAGAAAAGTCTGCACACACTTGCACACGCACTTACATGTACAGTATCAGTTTTATTACCTTCTAAATAGTCTGGGGTGAGATTCCGTAGCTACGTCGTTCGCAAGTCCTAAGAAGGCTTCGGGGAACTCACTCCTGTATGGTTTGCAAGCTGCCCCAACGCTTTTGGTGTAGTTCGTTTATGTCAGTGATGGAATAATATAGATTTGCCGTAAGATTCCTTGCATGAGCGTGAGAGTCTGAAAGCGTGAGTGGCACGCCAGATGCGTTATAGTTGGTAACCTTGAGTCACCACTGTAATTTGTCTAAGATATATCTTAAACATAACAGAACATTTATACTTACTAAAGGCGATATCTGATATAACATCTTATTAAGCATACAATATATTTAAAACCCGTAAAGCAACGTTAATTTAAAAAGATAATCAAAATAATCTGATGTACTTAATGCACACTTTAGCAAAGTTAACTCGGCGAACGAGCCCGACCACAAAGGCGCATATATATAACATAAGTCACCGAAAGAGTCATCAACTACTCATACATCACTACTGACGAAGATTCTGGGAAAGCTAGTGAAGCAGAGACGCGCCAGAGCGCGCGGCGATCACGCCAATAATAATAAGTGATGCGGTTCTTCCCGGAAGCGGCCCGGAAAAGGCGCTCGTGCTGAACGCATTGTGACGTTTCTCGGCGACCCCGCCCCGTTTTGTCTTGGCCCCGGCTGCGCTGCAGTCACTACAGAAACCTGGAGAAACGAGCCCAGACGGCTGTCTCCATTCCGGCATGGATATGGGAATTATACCATTGTTCCGGAACCGAGCCCGTGCTCTACACTACCACGGAACAGTACACTTCGTGGTACTGACTTTAAAAATCAGCCGGTGGAAATCCTACTACCATTAAAGACACGTACACTATTAATTGTGATACGGACTTCCTCTCGATGCGGAAAGATGTACCACCTATTAAATAGAAAACATTTTAGTTCACCTCAAAGAATGGGCTTCTGTTGAGCCGCATCATTTATTTTGAAAAAAAAAATGTATGGGAAAATGTCATTTTACTCATTTGACATGTTACTCACGGTAAGTAATAATTAGATATATATATATAAATATCATTTATTTGTACACGCGCTTTATACCTCAGCAGGTTTTTGATTTCTTTATGCGGGTATTTAAAGTGACAGTGTCTGTTTTTTTGCATACAGTCTTGCATCGGATGGAATAAGTCATATTCCGTTTTTTTCACGAGTCGTGTAATTATTTTGTATAATTCTGTTTTACTTTGGCTGAATAGTATAGATTACTTGGACTTATACCTCAACCGTATTATTTTACAGAATGGAAGCTATATAACAATTTAATATGTGTGATATCTATATATATATATAATGTGTACAGTCCACCCTTGCATCCAAGAATAGCATGGAATGTTGTCGGGAATTATGTCATTAAATGTCAGTATGGGGCTGTAATAGGAAGGGAATCCTATGCGTTGCAACACAGACAATATGATCCAGAATATGAGCCAGCAATGCAGATAGGGGAAGTATGGGGGATATCCAGGCCCTCTTGTGATCATGCTGAATGCAGATTATTACAGCCTTACTTTTTTGTGATAACTCATGCAACACTCTTGCTTCCGAAACAAGGAAAATCAGTATTTTGAAAATGGGTCCAAGTGATATATAACATGACATTACATCATATTTCAAGATGTCAGTTAACCACGTTGCTACTAGCAGTGACAAAGACCCATTTTATTTTGGTGGGGTGGGGGCTGGGGCAACTGCTTGTTGTTGCTTAATTGTATTATTTGTTATCCATTATTACACTTTCGGGAAAATATGTATGAATAGTAGCTTTTGGGCAGTTTGACAAAATACATGCTGATGATTCAGTGATGGTGATTAATTGAGGGACACTTTCCCTCGGCCTTAATCCTTTTTAAGACACTGAAATATGGCGTTTCTCATGGCCATCTTTGGCAAGTTTTGACACTGGGTGTCTTTCTCAGAAATCTACCTAATTTCACTGTAGCTACTGTATATGGCAAATCTACACATGGTGCTATGAAGGGGGTGCATTCTGATTGCTTTAATGACAATATCTACATTGTATCTACTGTATTTGATGGACACTTCTGTCTAAAGGGCTGTTCTGTCATTCAAGCACACAGCTATAATTGCTGCCTCTGCAGTCTGACATTTGCAAAAAAAAAAATCTCTTTGGCCTTACCCACTGCCTCCCTACTGGCCATTGTTGAAGGTAAATTAGGCATGACTGCCTGTAAGGAGATGGGCAGAATGCTTGCTGATTCCTGCTGGCTACTCATTGGTCTAACAAATTGCAGCAGGTACCCTGGTGAGCGCATTAAATTTGGGGAATTATAAAAAGTTTGTCACTCGCATAATATGATGCATTGTTGCCTTTGTAATTCAGCAGTCAGTGGTGAGCTGCATGTGACCAGTTCTTCATTGTCGTAAGTTTTGAAGGGATTTTTTCTGCCTGTTCTTTGATAAAAAAGTGTAAACTTTAGCTGCTGACGTAACTATGACATCCTGGATTGGGTGTAAATACTCTCTTATCACTAATACTTGATACTTGTGGGTTTTACTTAGACTTGCTCACATATTAATCTTAAAAGACCTTTTTTTGTTTAAAGTGAACAATTCCTGCTACCCACAGAGTAACTATCAAGGCTACAATCCAAAAACAGGATCAAAAATGTCTTTTTTTTAACATAATCCTCACCTCTATTTTGAAACAAATATGATGGGCAAAAAGGGGACCTGGAACCTCAGGAAGTGTGTTTTGGGACTTTTTCACTTTCTGGAAACCATCTCACTGGATGGTCTTCTGACAGAACTTCCTGGCAGGAAGAAGTTCTGCCTTATTCAGGAGTTTCCACAACAAGGTGTTCTGTCCCAGTACGGCACTGATGAGAGCGCAGTAGCCATGAATTGAGCCAGTAGCCACGAAATTCATCTTCAAGTCAAGCCTGACCTGTTAAGTGGAAGGATTGCTGTTGCCACTATTTTATTCAATCCAGTTCATCAAGCCAACTCACCTATCCAGTTATCTCTCTGTTTTTTCATCTGCTTACCCAGTATAAGTTTGCAAGGGGGATTGCCTTAGAGGACTTAAGACTGGGGTACACCCCGTACAGGATGCCAGTCTATTGCCGGATGCAGAAGTAATTTAGAGATGGGCGTGAGGTGAAAGTGCCCCCCACTGAGGGAGTCTTTGCCCACCCATTCAGCTGTTGTTCTCGTTAAAATTAAATGTAGTAATGATTACGTAATTTCTGCAGTCTTGAAATGAACAAAGGGAAATGGGCTGTTCTTGGCTTTGTTCCACCCCCCCCCCCAGCCGCACACCTCCCTCACGGGTATCTGGTCGGGCACCAGTATGTTCCTGACAACCTGCTGACAGTGAGTTTGCTTAGCAGAGATGGAATCCTCCCTTATCAGAACTGGCAGAGGCACAGGGAACTGTTGCGGTGGTGGTGGTGGTGGTGGGGGGGGGGGGGGGGGGGGGGGGGGGGGGGGGGGGGGGGGGGGCTTGGCCTCATTTCCCCTAGAAGTATCACATGTCTATTTCATGATGATTAAAAGACTGCAACTTTTCTTACACCTCAGAATCAGTCATGTGATGTTCGCTGGGATATTTCATACCTGTTGATACCCACCGAAAAACACCTCAGCTGTGCCTGCTAGTTTGTGTTGGCATCTGTGAGTATATTCAGAGTATTTGATATCCAGCTGTGTTAATAAAAGTCTTGCGGAGAGAACAAAGTAGTGCTCGGCGGCACACATGTTAAGTATACCCGAACCCTAAGCCATTCTGGGTGAAGTGCATCGCATTAATCTAAATATCAACACAGTGAGTGTGAAAGAACATAGGAAACTGATGTGCACACGCACTAGCATCTTGGCATGGAGAGACGCAGAAGCCAAAGGTTTTGTGGAAGTTCATAATAATAATAATCATTGATACTTTATTGACCCCCTTGTGGAAATTCTCTGTATGCCTCCCCCAGCGTGCTCTCTATAGGTGAGGGCCAGCTGGCCGTGACAGGCAGCCACCTACAGTGGCACCTAGGGACCTGGGGGTTGAGAGCCTTACTGACCTTCTGCTCAGAGACTTAGCCCACTGAGCTGCATTCTGCCCCCATGCTTCTTACCTTCTGTTAAGAACACATTTCTTAACTTTTTTAGTAATTCTAAGACTCATTTGACTCCTGGTTTTCCATTTAACCAGGTACGAGGTATGGCAATAAAATCACTAAGGAGTAGAATGACATAAAACAGAACATTTTCCGTCTTTTATCTGATCCTGCCCTTCTGAGCATAAAAGGGAAGCGATACGTGCAGTTGGATAAGACGCAGAGAAGGGCCGATGTGAGATCTTAGAAACACAGTGTCTTTTGATTATAACTTAAAACTCCCTTTTAAAACAGGATAGTTCTCTTGCAGTAGCATTGTGTCCTTCAATGCCTGCCTTCAAAGTATTACTGTGCAAACCTTTTTGCCCCGTTTGTGACAAACCTAAAGATTAACCTACTTTTTCCACATTTTCTGCTTTATAAATGCGCAAAGGTGCTATAAACTCATCAGTCTCGGGCAGGTTGTGGTACGTATAGACCTGCACATTTTTAAAGCCAGTATGTATAGCATTTTCTCCCAGGGCACTGTGCACCATGCTGTCACCTTTACGGCGCTCCTACAAACAGTGGCCATGTTGCTTTCAGTAACCCCTGTGAGAAAGTCTGGCTTTGCCTAATTGCTATTCGTTTTCACAAGGCTTGAGCCGCCATGCTGAATGAGCCCTGGCTGCCTCTTGGGGAATGGGGTGGGCGGTCTGAGCATAGAAATTGGTAACAGAGTGGGACTTTCGGCTGGGGCGCCTTTATTCTGTGCACTTTGGGGGGATTTCGGGTAATGTGCCTCATCTGTGGCATTAGCATAGCTGGAAAATAGGACTTCTCAGCATCTACTGTGACGTCTGAGGTGTTTCAACTGTTAAAATTGCTTTGTCAAGCTCCCCCCCCCCCAATCTGTTAGTGATGATTCAGCTCCCTCTTCTGACAATAAATATTGCTTTCAACATCATTTATTTTAGAGCAAAATTGCACCTCTGCCAAATAGTGAACTGGGCGGAACCCTTTTAGTTTTCAGGTGACCGCTGTTGAATGAGAAAATGAGACGCAGTTTGTAGAATTTGTGCTATTCCGGGATGGATATGGACTGCAATGGTAAGGAGAGATGCAGTCATCTTTGGTGACGTTCTGCGACCAAAGGACGTTGAGCTGCACATAGGCTACAGGAAAAGGATCCATTTGTCAGTGTGCCACTCAGAAGGTCTTGTTGTGTCCTATTGCCAAAGGTAGATTAGGTTTCCTCTTTGAAATACTTAATTATGTACCCTGAAACCATCCATCTACCCATCTTCTAACTGCTGATGCTGTCAGGATTATGGGTGACTGGACCTCAAGCAGCATAGGACACAAAGCACAGCATTGCATGGATCACACTCATAGAAGCTCACAATCATACTCTATAGAGACACCAGTTTGACATACTGCATGCTTTTGGATTGTGGGAATAAAACCACATGTACACAACACAGAGAGAACATGCAAATTCCACACAGAGCAACCTGAGAGATGTGATGGGATAGTGCTAGCCACCGAGCCACTACTATACCCGCATTGTTAATAACTGCTGAAAAGTGAAAAAGACTGATACATATAGTTTTGGGACTGGTCAGCCATTGCAGACACTTAGCGTTAAAACTCAAAAAGTGTTTGATGGATCTTTGTCACACTTTGCAGAACTCAAACTAATTAAATTTAGAACCCCAAAATTGAAGCAGCGCTGCATAGTGATAGAAAAGAAAAATGCAATTTTGACCATTGATCCCATTAGTGCAGTAACTAAAACATTATTTAAAGGACTGGCAGGTGAAGAAGCTGCTTCCTTCAGCGGGATGGAGGGGTTGTTTGGTCCAGCAGCAAGAGGGTGATGATGGCAGATGTGTAGTTCGGCTGGGTGGGCAGGCAGGGAACTGCCCACCATCAGGAACTCCAAGAGAGAATTCAACAGTGCATTAATAAAACTGTCTGGCAAATTGTTAAAATTTTATGAGGTATTTTGTAGTGTGATATGGAGATAAAGAGTCTCCGGCAGGTCTAATGAACTATGGCAGCTTAACTGGGTGGGAGAGGTGGGAGGGAACAGAGGCATGAGGAATCCCTGAGCACCAGCACTCCAACGACACATGGGACATCTGCAATGTAAATGTGTACATGTGCATGGTGAAGTTTAATGGTCAAATTTGGTCCAATGATTACAGAATTAGGAGTACATAAGAATACGAAAAATATGTTAACAATCATCTTGGTTGTTTGTAATAAACACAAATATCAGCAAAACCTAACATTTAAGATAAACCACATTAACATGCAATGGTAGCAAAAACTTTCAGACATAGTAGATGTGTGCTGTAGAGCTTGGAAGCTTCGCCGTGTAGGGAAAAAGGGCAGAACAGCACTATTTTCAATTTGCTTTTTGTTTGGCAACATTTATTGTGGATGAGCAGGGGGGTTTTTTGGCATGGAAAACAGACTTTAACATGGATTTATCTCAGTGACTGAATTATTTCATTAACGTTAATGTTTAAAAAATGTTATTACCCCTCTAGGTAATATAATAATGAATTCCGTGGTGATGTCACCGTTCGTCAGGGAGAGTGTACTTTTCCAATAAACTAGTGAGTAGTAAATAACATTGTTCTAAAAATGGTTTTGTGATAATTGCTTTCCTTCAGTCAAGTGTCACTCACCAAGTGTGAGAGGATAGATGACATAATGTTGCTGTCACAGTTGTTGTCATGTTTTTTTTTATTTTAGCTGCTGTTCACCCTCGTCAGTAACTTCTCTGCCCTGGCTCTGACTCCCAGCACTGCAACGGAGCCGCTGTCCACCCGCCAGTACTACCACACAGATCCCAGCACGGGTGCCCAGCTAGCTTGTGACAAGTGCCCCGCAGGCACCTACGTCTCCAAACACTGCACCCAATACTCCGTGCGTGAGTGCAGTCGCTGCCAAGACGGCACTTACACACGCGGTGCAAACGGTGTCCGCCAGTGCCACCGCTGCCGGAGCCACTGTAAGGCACCCTTTGTGCAGAGGGTCCCCTGCACCGTGACGTCCGACCGCGTGTGTGCCTGCCCGCCGGGCACGTTTGGCGACGGGGGCGACTGCCGGCCGCACACACAGTGTGGGAAGGGCTGGGGCGTGAGGAAGAAGGGAAGCGAGACGGAGGATGTCAAGTGCAGGCCCTGCTCGCCTGGGACCTTCTCTGACACGCCCTCCAGCGTGCTGAAGTGCAGGACTCACAGCAACTGCACAGCACAGGGCCTGGCGGTGCTGGTCGAGGGCTCCAGGGAGTCAGACTACACCTGCGGTGCCCTGCCCGCTAACGAATCCTCAGCCACGCTAGATCCAGCTTGGCCGACATCTGCTGAGGCCATCTTGGCTGTTTTGGTGCACAAAGGTAAAAACCGGGGTTCAGGGTACATGTGCCAGTGTTATTATATCCAGCATTTTCAAATTCTTCTGTCCTGTGAAACTGTCACTGATTCGATAATTATGCAGCCTGCCTGTTCTCTTTTGAACACTAGCTTTGGCGGAAAGTCTTGTGTTTGTGGCAGAAAGTCAAGCGTTGCTATGGACTGATAACTGGATTGAATTTTTGTCCTAGTTCTGCAAGATATTTAATTATATTGATGAGTTTATGTGGTTTTTGAGACTCACTCTGGGGTTTATATATACAGTATATATACATATATACACACACACACACATACAGTATATGGAGTGTATATAATATTTAAACATATATTAACTGGCCACTTTTATACATAATTTTAATACGTTGCTCTGCTTCTGGAAACATTTATTGGAGATTCTGGTCCAGGTTGATGTGATTGCATCACATCATTGCTACAGATTTGTCAGTTGCACACTCATGCTGCACATTCCTTGTCTCACCACATCCCAAAGGTGCTGTATTGCCGTGGTTCTCAAACGGGGAGCCGCGGCCTGAGGGGGGGCATACAATTTGTTTGAGAAGAGTAGAAAAATATGACAAAAGCTTGGTGGGGGTGGCAGCCTATACTGAATTTCTACGGTATGTCAATATCTTTCTCAAAATGAGATACAGACACTCTTCTACTTAAAAACTTTTAACTTACGAACTTTCAGACATACGAACGAAGAGGACTATAAGTCCAAATTGTGTTCCTTGGGCTCCCGTTTCCTGTCCGCAACATCAAGTTTTTTCTTTTTCTGCGCACCAATTCCGCCTAGTATGACTTCTGGCCGTTAGTGTCTCAGGGACAAGCCGACGGAGGGGAAAGGCGAGGAATCATCGTTACTTGGTTCACTTAATTTCAAAACATTGTAAAAAATATTGGAATTTGCAATATATGTTTTAATTTGTTGAAGTTTAATACCTTAAAATAATAATAATAAAAAAAACATTGGCAATGTTTATCATTGCAGAACGCATAGAAGAAAAACAATATCATAAGCTGTGCAGCGTTTTCCTGGACATTGGGAGTCCTTGGGTGGAAAAAATGTTGAGAACCACTGCTCTGTTGGATTAAAATCTGGTGCTTTGGGCGACCATTGAAGTACAGTAAACTCATTGTCATGTTCATGGAACCAGATTGAGATTTGCAACCTATTCTGCAGGAAGTAGCAACCAGAAGATGCAGCTATACATAGATAGGCTTTGGCATTTAATCGATGCTCGATTGGCAGTAGAGGGCCAGTGTGTGCCAAGAAAACATTCCTCATATCAGCAATTTGCGTCCGTGGATTCATGCTTAAGTTTATGTTAAATCTGGATCCTGCCATCTGCATTTCTCTGTACATATCGAAGCAGATAACATTTTTCCAATCTTCAACTATCTAGTTTTGGTGAGCCACAGTGTCTTTAATTTACTGTGTTTAGCTTACAAATGGAAACTGATGTGGCCTTCTGCTGTTGTAGCCCATCCACGTCAAGGTTCATCGTGTGGTGCAATCAGAAATGCTTTTCTGCTTACCAAGATTGCAAAGAGTGGGTATTTATGTTAGTGAAGTCTTCCTGTGAGCTCTAACCAGTCTGGTCATTCTCCTCCGATCTCCCTCATCAACAAGGCATTTCCGCCCACACAAATGCCGCTCACTGGATGGTTTTTCATTTTTCGCACCATTCTGTGTAAACTCTAGAGACTGATGTGTGTGAAACTACCCTGCCTGGCACCAGCAACAGTGCCACAGTCATAACTCACCTAAATCACCTTTCTACCTCATTCTGGGATTTGATCTGACTGTTTACTGAAGCTCTTGACCTGTATCAGATCAGAGCATCTCCAAAACACCAAGGCTTGTGACGTGTTCACAGTCAGCCGTGGTGAGAACCTACTTAGAGTTGTCCAAGAAGGGAAAAACCATGATCTACCAAAAGAATGTTGGACAACTAAGACTCATCAATGTCAGATGTAAACCAAAGATCTCCTGTAGGGTATGAATTACTGGAAAGCCTACTGTGGCACAAATTGCAGATAGCTGACGTGATATGCTTCACGTACAGGTGGCCCTAATGTTTTTGCACATCAATATACAGATATACTGTGTGTGTTTCTACCTAAATGGGAAACATGTTGGTCTTGTACCTTTGGTTTAGGCTACGTCTGACTATTCTTGGGAATTTTTATACCGTCCGGACATTATATTGATGATATTTTTAAAAGCAGCACTATTAACACTATTTAGTATAAAATTTGTCAAGTGTGTGTGTGTGTGTGTGTGTGGGGGGGGGGGTCCCACCATATCTTGCCGGCAAAATCCTAATAGTTTCCAGGTTGTGCTTTCCAGGTTTTCATGGGTAGCTATATTGCCACATCATGTTTTTCACCCATTACTTCACTATTACTCATTTCTTGTTGGATAATTTCAGCCATTCTGGTTAGCTCAATAAATGTGTAGAAGTCTGCCCCTAGTGGCAGTGGCAGATCCATTATTTTACAGGCCCGTTAGGCAAAACAGAACTGACAAGATGCATGTTAGATGACTAACAGTAGCCTACATAAAACTTCAAGAATTTGAACATGGATTTTTGCTGCCGGTTATGTAAATATTTTTTCTTTTATTCAAATTTTCCTCAAATAAAGAAGTTTGACCTCACAGGCCTAGTGTGCACATCCCAAGATAGACCGGCAGTCTGTCTATAGTGTTCCATCCTCCTAGGGGAACCTTCTGGATCACTGTGGCCAGAGTAGAAATCCAAAAATTTAATGGGAGTCTTCCTGTTCAGTTAGTTGGTTATTGATGAACTTTGTTACTTAATGAGTTGCTCTGGGTGATGGGGGGGGGGAGATAGTGTGGAACCAGAACAGGATTAATGGTGCTAAGGCTCCGTCTGCACTAATATACTAAAAAAATGACGGGAGTTTCCGAAGGTAAAGATCTGCGTTCGCACTACCGTTTTCACAAGCGTTGAAGACAAACTTCTGCATTCACGCTGCTCCATGTAAAAGGGAAATTATGTAGCTATAAGAGTGGTTGCTAATGTATATATTTCTGAGATTTCTCATTTGTACATTTAACCAAAACTTTTTATAATATAATTTTAGAAGTGGCGCACTTTATATTTTATTTGTTTGTTGTAGCTCGAGCATGTGTCATTTGCACGTTTTTTTGTGCAAGCAAAAAGTGGCTAAGTATATATTTTGAATAATTTATTTTCACGTGTTTAAAGAAAATGCGTGTATTTTATTTAGCAAAAGTGAAATATAACAGTACAGTAGCATTGCAAACACAAAGTTTTACATACAGTAAGAGGAACCATCACAGCAACAACACAGGGATCCAGAAATTTTGTCACTACATGTTTCACTCTCTTCCCTCAATTTAAGTGCACTCTCATATTCAATGGCTGGATGTCTTTATCATAAGCTAGAGCTGCACTTAAACTTGGCTCAGGTATAGTCTCGTTTGTGAACATCATACAATAGTTGTGAACATCATACAATGTACACAAAACACAATTTAGCTGCACACAAGTAAATTCCTCATTGTTCATATGTGGCTTACGTCTGTGAAAACAAAGGCGAAGCATAATTCATTCCCGTGTGGAATAACCAATTAGGAAAAGAGACATCAAAACGAAGAGGGCTAATCAGGAAAGGGTCACGAGCTAAGTATGAATCAATCGAAGCTCATTGATGTAGATGTAACAAAATTTTTACGTTTATGAACGTCCGCGCTAATGCGTTTACAGAAAGATTAGTTGTCGAAGAGTGGCTAAATTTTTCTCCGATTCTGGGAAAAAAAGATCTGTGGTAGTGTGGACAGAAGGTTAAATCGGAATTAAATTTTTGTTACTAAATGAAAACATATGTGAACGGGCCCTTAAGGCTCTTCTAACCACAAGAACGGCCTCTTGTCACCTACTGCCCATGTGCTCCTGTCCATTGTTATGTAAATGAACCCCCCCTAGTCTCAGTCCCCCACAGCATCCATATGACAACTTCCATCACCCCCACCTGACCCCCCGATAGGGAGGTGCCAATAGGTAGCTGACCAGATGTGACGCGTCCTGTTTCTCGATGCTGTCGAACCTTTGAGTTGATGTTTGAAGTCCTCAGACGGGAGCCTCCCTTGAGTCCGCTGAGGACTCCCTGGCGCATTCGTGAATAAAGGATGCATCACCTTGCCAGAAGTGAAGTTTCTTCCACACTAGTATTCATTAGGACAATACGTTTTGTGATTTTTTTCAGCGAGGCATGTGAGAAATGCTCATGTTCTGCTTGATTTTACCACTGGCGCATTCAACTTTTGTAGTATTTGAATGTGAATTTGAATGTCTAACTCTCAGGGCAATCATCACTATGGAAGCGTGGTTGGAAGGTTTTTCTGGTTTTTGTCTTTGAATTTGCTTTTGTTTTTCCAACACTTATGACTATGTTAATAATAATATTATTGTAAATTTCTGAAAATGGCAAGCTAGGTTATGCAATTTATATATGGGCAAGTGAACCAATGATTTTCATTAATTTGGCATATGAGATACTTCTCTCCAGTTCAGAGGGATTTACAATGTTGTCATCTGTTTACGCATCTGTATATTTTACACCAAGCAGTTGTTTAAGAGTCTGATTAGGGTACAATAGGGTATACCTTTAGGCTGGATTTCATGGTCAAACCACTATGTTGGCACATGTGCAACCAGTTTAACAGGATAACATGAATGGTGAACAACTTAATGTTTGTTATGTTTTAGTACGTCGTTTGACTAGGTAAAGGTTAAACTACATTAAACTGCTGCACCCTTATTGTTTCAGGTTAGCCACCTGAACATTTTCTGTTTGAATGTCACATAAAAAGTAACTTGAGGTTTACTGTGGGGAGGTGGGCAACCAACCATATATTGAGCAGTCCTGAAAGACATCACCTAGGCAACTAATTAAATGCAAGCAAAGTGGGAATCGCTGTGTCCTCCGATATGGGAGATGTAACTCAGGAACAAAGGCAGGCTGTTCAACACGGCTCAATTTCACAAGCACGGCAGCTCCAAACCAGGCAATAATGCTATTTGTGTTTGCCATAGCATCTGATGGATGCCTGTTCCTGCACCTAGCCTGGTGTTTGTAATATATGCGCCTTATTTTTTACCCTAACAGGTAGAAGGCATAACTTGCGTGATTTTGTCCTTACCATGTCTTTGGTTGTGCCTGTTTCAGCCTCCCCTGGTGTAGGGGATGGCCGTGTTGATGGGATGCATGACTCTGCAATAGAGCTTCTTAGTATTTTTAATGGGAAGTGAATGAAAGGAACTGAAATTTGTTGATTTGCATGGACTGAAATGACAATGAGGAAGTGACAAAAAACCAAAAACAAAGGAAAATGAGCAGTATTAGTCTATTTCAGATATCGTATTGGATTATTCAGGCAGGTCACAGCTGGCAGGTATCAGGCTTGGGGATATTTTGTACATAATAGACACATCCTATTGAAATTCTGCCCTTATGTTTTGTTGCCTGGATTAAGGCTCATTTTGACTGAGTTTAAGTCTCTCACTTTGTACCTCTCACTATATGTCTTTGTGTAGACGCCTTGGACATGACGACAGGTGTTCGCGACTCGCATGCACCACCCTCGCAGTCAGGCAGCGGAGAAAAGCCAGAGAGCATCGCAATTACAGATATGGCTGCGGAAGCACTAGGCTATGACACATCGACCACGGGATCTCCACAGAGCCACTTCAAACCACCCTTCGACCTCCAAGACCACCAGCCGGCCACCAAGCGTGCCATGGACTCTCAGGGTGTGCAGGTAGATAACAATGTGCTGAGCCCCGGGTCCTGGCCTCCCCGGCGTGGGTCTCCTCGGGGTCATGCTAACCAGCATTTCGACATCAACGAGCACCTGCCCTGGATGGTGGTGTTGCTCCTTCTGCTGGTGCTGGTGGTCATCGTGGTCTGCAGCGTGAAGAGGAGCTCACGCATGCTGAAGAAGGGCCCACGCCAGGACCCCAGCAGCATCATGGAGAAGGCAGCCCAGAAGAAGCCTGCTGCCCCCACACAAGTGAAGGAGAAGTGGATGTACTACTCCAGTGCCCAGGGTGAGTGCAGGGGTTTCCGTTAGCATCGGAGGTACTGGGTACTAGGAGTGGTAGCACAAGATTTTAGTAAAAATATCTATAGCAGTGTTTATCAATCCAGTCCTGGGGGATCCGCAGACAGTCTACATTTTTGCTCCCTCCCAGCTCCCTACTGGCAGCAAAAATGTGGACTGTCTGGAAGGGAGCTCGGAGGGAACCAAAACAGGTACCGTCTGTGCTTCCCTGTGGACCGGTTTGGGAAACACTGATCTATAGTGTATTTTGTTTGCATTGAGAGGGAAGAGATCATGATAGTGTTTATTTGTTGTTTTATTAATTTGCCTTAGTGGAGACTTTTAAACTTTTTATGTGGATACATATTTACTAAAAGGATTCAAGAAAAGAACCTTGTCTAAAGGTAAGAATGCTATTGTCCTGGGACTTAAACTGACCTTTGTCTGGACATAGAGATATTAAAACATGGACACAGTGACTGATTACTCTTGTCAGTATTCTCAGGCTGTAAGTTACTTAAAACAGTCGGGCCATTGGTACTGCTTGTCATCTGATGTCTGTATGTAAACTTTGCCCCTGTTGTGCAGCTGATGAGCTTTATTATAGCAGTGCATGTAGTTTTATTTAACGTCTGCTGCCAGAACAGTATTCTTATTATCTTGCTGTGAAAGGTTAGCACTGAACCGTACATAGCATATATGATTTGAGATCTCTGCCTATTGTAAGCATGTTGCCAGGAAGTACCCAATCCATTCCGACCAATAGCGTCATGTGAAACAACCAGAAGGTTACGTAATAACAACTCAGCCTGTTCCCAGGTTCCTTTCTCTGTCCAATCAATGTTCAGACCGGTCAGGCAGTGGTTGTGTTTGGGGGAGGTCAAGGGGTCAGACTATCACGAGGCTGTGGGAGGAGATGGGTGGAGATAGCAGAAGCGGCATTTGTGAGCTGATTGTCCTGTTAAGTAGAATGGGTTGGCTGCTAGGTTACACTGGTGAAACTTTAGCATGACGACTTTGAGTGTGGCTTGGTGTCCCCCCCCCCCCCCAGGGTATCTGGCTGCTCAGAAACCCAACCCGGTGCAGTCTGAACCGGATTGTTCCAGTTCCGAGGTTTAAGTGCCCTTCCAGTTTCACCACAGCACAGACATGCCCCTAGGAAGAAATGAAAGAGAAGCCAGCGATAGAAGCAGAACTCTTCTGTCTCGGCGAAGGTGCAAAATTGCTTATGTAGCCAATGCCAGAGATGAGCGGAGGCATTCAGAACTGCCACGGAAACTTCGTATAGAAAAACCGAATTAATCATGAGTGCAGGCTGTAATTAGGGGTGCTTTCTGTGGAGCTGCACGGCACTCAGTTATGGCATGTATGGGTCATTTTCATTATTACTAAGTCGTTTTTCAAAAGTAGTACAGTTCACCCAACTATGAAATTTACTAATTTCATTCTTCAAATTTATATCCTTCAACAGCAGTCACACAGGTGCATTCCATAGACTTTCGAGCATCTTTGTTGTAGAAGAAACTGTTCCTCCAGCAGATGAAATATGTTGGGGTTCGGTGCTGTTCGTGTGGCCAGGCAGTGAATGAATGTTAAATGGATGTTACATTCCTATAGTGCTTTTCCAGACACCCAAAGCGCATTACAGAACCAATGCGGAGCTGCCTCAGTCACCACCACTGTGTAGCGCCCACCTGGTTGATTTCATGGCAGCCATTCTGCTCCAGTACACTTACCTGAGCTAAGGTGATGCAGGGGCAGGAGAGAAATTACCAGATAGATATAGGGGCAGATTAGGAGGCTATAGCTTTGAAAGGGCCACAGTGGGCAATTTAACCAAGGCTTCAGGGTACCACCCCTACTCTTCCAAAGGATGACCAGGGATCATTTATGACCTCAGAGAGTCAGGACCTTGGTTATATGTCTCATCTGAAGGACGGCACCATGTTTACAGCACGGTGTCCCTGTCACTGGACTGGGGCACTGGGATCCTCACTGTTGACTACACCAACACCTCTTCCAGCAGCAACCCAGCTTTCCTAATTGGTCTCCCATCCACATACTGGCCAGACCCAGCTTCAGCTTACAGGTGGTATGGCTCTTGGCGATGAATGCGTGGAGTGGGAACAAGGCTAAAGACTGATGCCACCTCAGCTTAGGAACATTTGAAAGTGACTCGAACGATATGGAACCTGCATTTCACCGACCATTAACATTTTCCTTTTTTTGAAGCCCTGCCACAATGGACTTGAGGCTCTGCTATGATGGTTTTGACTGGTTGCGGCAATAGATTCCAATTTTTCACTAGTGTTAAAAAAAGCTATTCTGCCATATAAAGGCAAAAAATCAATTTCATCTTTCTTTCACTAACCTCTTGAAGAGAACACTGTCATTTACCTACCTACTACTCATACATGTGGACAGTTGAAATACTTGAGTTACTGCGTTTCTCTTGGTGAGGCAGGTGCTGTACTAATCACTGCAGACTCATTCAGATAATGGCTCAGTTTCCCCAGAACTCTCCAATAATAGGATATACAGGGAATTCCTGAAGCCTTTCCAACAACACATAGCTTTTTACTATGTTGTTTACCTCTGATATTAATTGCATTTTGAATTTAAAGCACGATGTGAATTTAGAGCCTTTACAGAACTTTTTGTTTAGTGGATGCAGTGGTTTAATTTGACAGTGTGTCTGTGCAGCAGGTCTAGGTAGAGTGTATGCATGCATTTATGCCCCAGAAGTATAAAACAAAACATTTCCCTAATTAATTCAAGGTGTTTAATTGGTTAACCCGAGGGCTTTCATGTCTATTTACTAGACTAATTAAACCAAGGGTAATAAAGGCTGACCATGGGAAACGCGTATAAATGGCGAGGGAGGAGTCGTAGATTTATAGATCCTTTCATATGAGGCCAGGAATCACCGAGGAGGATGAAACGGAACATGCATTCTGAGATCAAAGAAGAAGGAACCAGCCTTGCTTCCCTGCTGTTTACAATTCCCATTGAGTTATTGTAGTGGGTGTTACCCATGAGAACACATCTATTTTAGTGTCAGGGTGGGCCCTGTGTTTCTGATGCCTTCCTTTCGCTCTCATTACTTATTCTGGAGCTATGGCAGATTCTGGGCAGGCTGCTGTCACGCCGCTTCAGCTTGCTGTCGATGGATGTCGCAGGCTGCTGTGCGCGTGGCAGGTCAACGGGTTCTTATTTGTGGACAGAATTTATGCAGCATCCCGGCTGCCGGTAAACAGCATGGAGAAAGAAATAACAAAAGGTAGAATGAAAAGGATTTTTTAAAACCAATTTTTTTTTGCCCAGTCACGCAATACGCAACGTCTGCCAAGTCGGCGGTCAGAAGGTAAAAGCTACAGAGTGATTCTTTTTTGTCATGCCTTGTCATAGACATGTTTGTCCTGCTTGAAATAATGTGGCTTGACATGCCAAGGAAAGCCTGGTCCCACCTCATCTGGTTTGTCATTCCCTCTTCTAATAAAGACATTTAATCCCAAATCTCTTTCATAAGAGGTGCTCCCACCCAGTGGGAAGATCACAAAGGCCTTTCAGGGGCAGCGCTCCCTGACTTGGGGGTGCTGTAGCTGCCCCTATGATAGCCATAGCACCCCTTTAGCACCCCTAAGAAATTTCTGTGGTTTACTTCGATTTTAATGTGTGAATACAACAGCTCTGGAAGAAATCAAGAGACTTCTCCATTTTTTTTAAGAAGCTGCATCATTAAATCCTGGTTTAATCCTGATTCTGCTGGCAGAAAACTACAGGTTGCTTCCAGGCTCAAAATTTATAATGGTGCAGTACACAAGAAAAATGTGAAGCAGGAGATACTGGGAATGGCCAAGAAACAGCCTGATAGAGGGCAGAAGAGACTTTCTAATACCAGAGATGACCGTCAACCTATCCAACTGTGCCTCATGAATAGAAAGATGACCTCAAGTGACCTTCAAAAAATATGGGAAAAATTAAGTGTAGGTGTGAAGTGCATTGCTAGGACAGTTCATAACAGATCCTAGAAGAAGGACTGAAGACCCAAAAAACAAGACAAAGCCCTTCATCAATGAGAAGCAGGGAAGAGCCAGGAGTTTGCGAAAGATGTATAGTTTACACAGAAGTGGATGTGTCCGCTCGAATGCTTATGCCGCATTTGACGTCATTGTTCACCTCCGCAGATAATCGCCTACTGCACAGCAAATTTGTGTCCACGCAGCAGTGGTCACACAGCTCTGGAAACCCTGCGCATGATCGATTTGCTAGCCTCCACTTTAAATACCAACATGGCTTCCAGAGCTGTGTGACATGTAAATGCGTATGCATGTGTGTGCAGACTTGTCTCGAACTGAAAATCTCACGCCAGCCAGCTGACCATAGTTGGCAACCCTGTGAACTGGCTCTCTGAAATTGTAAAACACAGAAAAATGGACACAAACCTCACTGCTATGGTACGTGTGCAGGGCATATCAGAGTAATATTTTATATAATAATAATACTTATTATTATTGCTAATAATGATAATAATAAAAATATAAATACAACACGTTGTGCGCATGTGCAAAGTACGCGGCTTGACCGGAGAACTATGAATGTTTCTGTGCACGCATGTGCAGAGTGGATATGCGAGTGTTGCGCTTGTGTGGAGAAGTATGAACCAGCCTTAAGTTTCAGAGCACCTTCGCCGGAAGGTCAAGCAACCCCATGGCATCAGCAGAGGAAAATCTTTGTCGGCGCCACGGAGGCCTTTGAACCTTTGCTCCGTGTACTTGGTGTGCTGCCTGCCAATGCAAAACTTCCGGCTCTTCCACTTCTGAGGCTCACAAAGCTGTATACGCTGAGCTGCTCAGTGAACAATTCTAGGCACGCTACAGAGAATTAAACTGGTGTGATAACAGGAAAGGCCCATGCAACCAGAGCGGAAAAAAATATGCCAAAGTACATACCAGACATGCAGTAGTAACCAAATAAATAAACCCTTTTGTAATAACAACAAATAATAAAATAATTAATTTCTTAGTTCCTGAGGCACATAGTATTATCAAAAAAGCATTTTTCAGCTGGATTACCGTTTATATACATGTCTACTTAACTTTTTCAAGTGTTTTCTGGATGGTGCATGGTTAACACTGTTGGCTCACACCTCTGGAATCCATGTGTGTGGAGTTTGTATGTTCTCCCCTTGTCGTCGTGGGGATTCCTCTGGGTACTGTAGTTTTCCCTGCCCCCCAGTCCCAAAACATGCTGAGGTTAATTGGACCTCCCCGTTAAGTGTCCCCTAAAATGGGCTGGCGCCCCGTGACCCTTAATTGGACAGGTGGTTACCGAAAATGCATGAAAGTATTTTTACTTCCACAAACTCGCCGTTTTGCAGAGCTGAAGATGTCCTCTGATATTTGGGCAGGAAAAGTGGTGCCCTAAAGCTACAGAACAGTACAAATGCACAAGAATGACCCAGTGACCTGCATTTGACTGATATACTTTAATTCAGGATCAGGACATTAGATCAACTCAAAAACAGCAAAATGTAGGATTACTGGTTTCAGCATGAGTTAATGTATACCTCCCTCTTGGGTTTAGGTGTGAGAGGAAGTCCTCAGATTTCTGGAAGGTGAACTCTGGGACAGGGAGTGTTAGGCTGAACTTAGAGAATGGATGACAAATGAATCAGAAATGCTTAAAATCTTTCCTATGAACAAGCCTTCGAAATGGATGTATTTTTAGAATGTGTGTAAGTCACTAGTAGCTTGACCCCAGCTGGAAGTCTGGACTGGTCAGTCTTATTAGCAACCTATTCCTGACCTGGATGAATGCCACAGAAAAAGGGAATGGTTTTGTAAGAGGTGAAGAGTGTCAGTGCCATGTTTCATTCTCCCTCCAGGCGTGGATATCCTGAAACTGGTCTCCACCCAAATCGGCAGTCAGTGGGTGGACCTGTATCGGACCTTGGCCAACGCCACTGAGCGAGAGGTGGCGGCCTTTTCCAACGGGTACGCGGCCGACCACGAGCGGGCGTACGCCGCACTGCAGCACTGGATCATCCGCGACAGTGACGCCAACCTAGCTAAACTCATCAACGGGCTGCACCGGCACCGGCGCATCGACGTGGTGGAGAAGATCCGCTGCGTGATGGAAGACAATCCTCAGGTGAGTGGAGCTGGTTCTTCTTCCCTTATCATCTGTGCTTGTATCCTCTGCACCTGTCGCTGATCCTGTCTGTCAGAGCGCTAAAGCTTTGTCACACATACAGTACTGTGCAAAAATCTTAGGCAGTCAAAGGAAATGTTTATTGTTATTTATCTAAGTAGTAAGAGTATATGTGCTCAGAACAAAAAAGACAATTTAACATTAGAACATATGAAAATTAAGAGCAACACGACAAAAAAAAAGAATTTCCTCCGTTCTCCAAAAACTTACTGATGTCTTGTTGGATGGGTAGATGAACACCGCTTCAGTTCCCTAACCTCTCCTCAGGGGCACCACAGCCATCCCATGCATTTGTGTCATTTCATATCCAGCTCAATTAATTAATTAACCTAATTAGTTTAAGAAAGTCAGAAGTATAGATTAGCTATACAAGGTGGGGTAAGGGTCAAGTCAAGAAATACATGGGTGTATTTGGATGGTTGTTGCAAATACTGGGGTGACTTTAGCAGAGATTTTGAAAAGGCTAAGCTGACACACTTTGACAGGCATAATATCATAGTTTGACATCCACACGAAGATCATTTGAGCATCATTTTCTTAGACTGCCTAAGACGTTTGCACATTACTGCACATGTCAGCATGATAATTTATTATGTCTAAGCTGCTGCTGAGTAATAAGTACGCTGCAAAGAGCCATAGCGTTATCGGCGTGTCTGGGGGTATCCACATCCGCTTGGACAAACGGAATATGACACATGACACAAATGCCACTTAAAGTTCAATCGGCTCTGAGGGCCTCGCTCCTCCTGAAAGAGGACTATTTTAATACGGCATTGATCTGACCCTTCCCTATCTTTTTCTGTGCTTTGTTCCAGCACGCTCAAACATACACACGGTCATAACCAAGGTCACTTCAGGAGACTGGGCTTTCACCCTGTGTGTTAATGGCTGGTGCTAATTTCAGAACAGGACAAAGAGGAAAACAAAAACAGAAGCGGGAGGTGGTGGGTTCTCCCATTCTGTAAATGATCTTCTTTAACTATCTAGCTGGGCACCTCATTATACTCAAGGCCATTACCCTTGCAAGGTTAGATACCACAGATAAAGAGATACATCAGTTAAGCCTTGAAATGTAATTTCACCTGTCATCACCATGTAATTATATGTATACCTGAGCTGAAACTGTAGACTTTTCTAATTGATGTTTTTTTTTTTCTTTTTTCAAAAAATGCTGCATTCCAGGTAATGAATCCTAAAGTGACACATTGTATGCCAAACTCGTAGCTTCCCTGGCTGCCTCAGTCTGCCTCATGTTTCCATATTTTGCCCACTTCGTACCTTCTGCTTAACACTAGAACCTAGTGATGTCATGCTTTTGAGAAGACTAGAAGGACGACAGCTGCGAGATCAGTAAAGGATCGATAGAATAGTTTCGAGTGAAATCAGAGGTCATTTTATGAAAAAGTTTTTAGTCTTTTTGGACATTTATATTACACACACACACACACACACACACACAAACCCACGCACACACACACAGTTCTTTTACACTTTCTAAGCTTCCATGAAAGTTTATATAATATTTAATTTCAAGTAGACTTTTCCAAAACCCAAGCTTTAGCAGGAATCTTTTGTAGGTAATGGCAAACCGGAACAGCTGTTGGCGCAGATTACTGGAACAGAACGTTCCATCTTGAGCGTGCCATGTGCATGCGTGACTGACAGTATCTGATGGACCCGTTACAGTTCTTTGTCGAGACTCGTTGCGATGCCCGTTTTCAATTTCTCATTTGATGACGGAAAGACCTGTATCACAGGTTCTTCGTGGTGACTATCTATGTTCCAACATTTGCCAAAAAGGGTGACAGAGGGCAGTTTTGGACAATAATTATGGGGGCCCAGTCGCAAAAACCAGCAGGCACAGAGGTTTAGCCCACTGAGCCACACACCAACCCCAAATGGAGCAGAGTAGCTCCACATGCTCATTTAATGTCAGTAAGATCTGGAATCCTGGGTCTAGATGCTATCCCGATTGTCCAGCGACTGTTTTAATGTAACTGATATAAATGATCTGTGACCTGAGCTGGGCAGGGTTGGCTAGTTCATGCTCCCCTGTCCTCTGCATTACTAACGGTGCTTGAGTAGCTTTGATAGTGATATGGTAACAGTAGGGGCAGTGCGGCGGTGCAGTGGTTAGCACTGTTAGCTTTGACAGTCATATGGTAACAGTAGGGGCAGTGTGGCGGTGCAGTGGTTAGCACTGTTAGCTTTGACAGTCATATGGAAACAGTAGGGGCAGTGTGGCGGTGCAGTGGTTAGCACTGTTAGCTTTGACAGTCATATGGAAACAGTAGGGGCAGTGTGGCGGTGCAGTGGTTAGCACTGTTACCTCACACCTATGGGACCACAATTCAAGTCTGTGCTACGGCTCTGTGTGTGAAGTTTGCATGTTCTATTTGTGTCATTTTGGGGTTTCCTCCAGGTACTGCAGTCCCAACTCCCAGCCGAAAACACATGTTAAGATAATCTGGTGTTACCAAATTGCCCATAGGTGTGAGTGTGCCCTGTGATGAACCACCATACTGGGTGGTTCCCTGCCATAGGCTCCAGACCCCTCATGACCCTGAATATGACAAGTGGGTACAATAAAAAGGATGCAGTAGTGATGTTTAAAAGTTCATCTCTCTTAAGCCCAGTACATATTTGAAGTAATCACTACTATCTTTGTAAAGTTTCAGGAACATAACATATTTATTCAGACAAAGTAGGGTACAGCTAAAATTTCTTTGAATCTTTGCTACGTCACTTTACATAACATTTTATTATTCCAGATAACCTTGTAGGCATTCCAGTTTAAAATGAGTGTGCCTACAAGCTGGATAAATAAAATGGTAAACATCAAACATTTTCAGAAAAAAGCATGGTGTCCTTAAAGTTTCTTTAAGTTTGAAAACGTTGTACTAACACGCGAGGATGAAAGAAGTCTTTAATACTCATTTAATACTGTAATACTTGTTTTGTTTCATTCTGGTTATCTCATTAATGTCTGTTCAAATATTTAGGTAATATATGATATAGAAGTTATGACCCATAAAGGATGGAAAACAATCGGCATGAGTGATTTTCAGTTTCTGAGACAAAGACAAAAGAAACAGCCCTATGCTGTCACTGCCTTACACACCGTCTCAGTAGCGAGTTGAGCCCCACCCAGTCCAGGCCAACCTTTGTGTGTAACTCAGCCAGACCACAATGACTCACTGAACTGTGGTTAATAAGTTTCTGTTAGGTTAGCAATTAGCTTTCTCTATGGGAAGCTGTGTTCATTTCACTACCTTAATCGATTCAAACCTCTGGGCATGTTCCTGGTGATCATAGTGGCGAGTCCCTCTGAGTAATGACTCATAACCCCAAGTGCATGCCATAGATCTTTTGCCGCATGACTGCCATGATCTGTAAACTAGTGTGAATCTGCAGTGTGGATGGATTGAACGTGGACACAGAAAGAACGCCATTGTTTACTGTGCATTATCTTCTGAGTTAATGACCAAGTCCGAGGTCATGCAGTGTGGGAGGCCCAGGAATTTTTTTCCTGCTGCTCTGAGCCCACGAAAGCAGTGCGCGACGACCCCTTGTCTTAGCTTGACGTAAAACGGGAGTGATCCGTGCGCTGGCTGAGCCCCGCGCTGGCGGCTCTGAACCTTCTCACTCCCCCTGCCGCACAAGAGGCCCCCTATAGTCGGAGAGAGCCGCATGGTTGTTTGAGCCAGTCACGTTCTCAGCCTTTGCACCTCTGTTCTGACGTGATGTTCCACTGCTTCCCTTCCCCGTTCCCCCTGGTCTCTTTTGCAGTTTGAGCTGAGCCAGCCTATGACCTCTGCGAACATGACACATTGCGTTAGCCCCTCCCACAAGGCTCCAGAATGCCCCGGCATAGTGGGGGAGCAGTCCCCAGTGGATCGGGGAAAGGGATTCTTTGCCGACGAGTCCGAGCCACTGCTGCGCTGTGACTCCACCTCCAGCAAGGACTCCGCCCTCAGCAGGACTGGCTCTTTCATAACCAAAGGTGAGTGACCCCTAGACCCCTCTCTTCCTTAAAGGTATTAGGGAGTTTCTTATGCAGATGTTTTAATCACATACTGAGCTCAGTTGAGCTGAACATGCACCACTATTGTAAAAGAGTCCACACAACTAACTCTGTTAGAGGAGAGGGAAAAAAAACACCCTTTGAGTTTGCATTATGTCTCAAACACTTGATATGTCACTGTGCCCACATCAACTACCACTGAGTCTGTTGTATCATGACCTGTGCATTATTATCAACAAATAAAATATTAATAGAGATCTGGAGTTTTGTTAAAAAACATTCGTATTTCACTATAATTCATAATTCATCTTCTGTGAAGATCTTGATATTGATGTTTGTTGAACAGGAAGCTGGTGTATTGCTTGGAGTATGTCTCCCCCTTCTGGACAATTAGCAACACTTTCATTTTTGGTTTTCCAGTGCAGCAGGACATACGTAGCACAAAACAACAGTTCATTTCTAGAGTAGAAAACAAATACATGCCTGAAATGATTATAAATACAGGGTAACGCTTTAGTTTAAGGTCTGCTCCCTAACTGTTAATGATCTATTAGTAATCATTTGGTAAGATAATTTACGAACAAATTTAGAAGTGTATTACAAGTATATTTTGTGTTGCCTGAATGGAATACTTAAATATCCTGTAGTTTGTGTAAGAAAGGCACATCAGAGTCCCCCCCGTCCATAGCTGCGGTAACACTCTTCAGGTTATGAGCATTTACACGTCTTTGCACGTACCACCTCCAGAGAAGAAGGACACGGTGCTGCGGCAGGTCCGGCTGGACCCATGCGACCTGCAGCCTATCTTTGACGACATGCTGCACATCCTCAACCCGGAGGAGCTGCACGTGATTGAGGAGATCCCCATGGCCGAGGACAAGCTGGATCGGCTGTTCGAGATCGCTGGCGTGAAGAGCCAGGAGGCCAGTCAGACGCTCCTGGACTCTGTCTACGGACACCTGCCAGACCTCCTGTAGCCGTGGGGACAGAGGAATTCGCTTTTTCCATCATGCCCCCAGTCCCACCTGACCCCAACGCCCCAAATCGACCTGACGGTGTTTCCCAGTCTGGTCCTCGGGGACCCACAGATGCTGCATGTTCCTACCAAAATGTGGACTGTCTGCGTGTCCCTTCGGCCCGGGATGGGAGACACTGCGATTAAGCCACTGCTGTCTCTCATGCTGGTCTGAATGTGATCGCTGTCCTCATCTCCTCGCTGCCACATTCTTGTGATAAAGCTGTGGAGAATTCTCCAAACACACACACACACACACACACACGCATTATTTTTATAATACACAATACATCTTAAATTGCCGCCTTCTGATAAATGCTCTTCAGTGACCTACTTGTTTTAAATGCTGTTTACTAACATGTCAGATTTGTTTTTTTTACAAAAGTCATCAAGCCTATTATTATTATTGTTATTATTATTATTATTATTATTATTAATGTATGTGTCATTTTTACAGTAGTTAAAGAATGTTATATGACATTTAAGATGTTAAATGACTTTGGGCATTTAAATAATTCCCAGCGCTTGGTATAATAAGTTTGCATTCTGCATATTTATACTTGAATTTTAGACACACTATCAGAAAATGGAAATTCCTCAAATAAGAAAATGTGTGTATAAGACAGACAGTTACTCATATTTCCTCTTCAGCACCAAAAACACAATATAAGGGCAGTTTTGCTGGACATGCACTGAAGGGAAAGCAGCGGGAATCGGTGTCTTTCTGCCATGCCAGTCATATCGAGCTATTTTGGTGCTAGACTTGAAATACTGCAGACATGGTGAGTTTCACATTGAACACACTAGGGGTGGTTGGTCAGTGTTCCTTTTCTGACCTGTGGGTAGCACCTGAGTTTTTGCAATTATTTTATTCCATGAGTAACCTTTGACCTTACCTTCCCACTTACTATGAAGCTCAAGGGAAACAAAGCTTGTGTCTGAACAGTATACTCTGTAGGATGGTTTAATACTTATTGTAACTGATAAGTTTACTATAATTGTATCATGTTAGATCCTCGAATTAAAGTTCAAACTTTTGCCATAATATTTTGCTGGATTCTTTTCTGGTTTTGATAGCTAATTAGCGAGCTCTGTTGTCTCAAATCACTGTGGTAAGGGGTTTGATTCCTATCTTATCTTCCAGAAAGCTGATTTTTTTTAAGTTAAAAGATCTTTAGACCATTAATTTCAACACCAAGTTGATGTACATTTCCAAAACTCACTCAGTCTATGGGTAACGTTTTTGGTGGACTTGGGGAGTTTTGGAAATTTAATGAAATCTCTTTGTTGGATTATATGAGGACTTAGTTTTGGTTCCCAGTACTGTACAGTTTATTAAAACTATTGATTAAGTAACAAAAACACTACTCAATCACAGTAAGTAATTGTACATTACAGGACAGTAAGTTTTTGTGCATTAACATGAGAAAGAATTAACCTACTGAAATACCTGCCTAATGAGTAAGAATTAGTTGACAGGTATATCTGTGGGTACGAGTCAGACCTGGAAAGGCCACCTGCCGTATCTGGCATTTCTTTGGTGGGCCAATGGGTTTATTATCGTGAAAAAAATTGGATTTGTATTTTGCATTTCTTGGAGAAAATGCATAGAGATAAACATTAATTATACTTATTTAAGAATTTAAGTAACTAATTTATACCTTGCTTGTCAAAATATATTGTTAAAATGGTGTTTTGCTGTTTTGTACACTGTTAAAATAGTGTTTCAACAGTGTTATGCTGTTAAAATAGTGTCGGGATATTTGAGTAAATTTGACAGAAAGAAATGGAATTTTAGGGATGTTTTTTACAATTGCAAACAGGTGGAAATTACCCAGTATTCAGCTTAATATTAAAAGCAATACAAGACTGAGAATAAATTTGAATAAATATAAATAAATACTAAGTAAATATATTTTTATGCAAGTGAAAATACCAAATTCATTATTTTTGTGACGCATACAGGCTAAAGGCAGGATATTATTGGCCAAAATGACCTGAATATAAACCATTTACACACAGGAAATAACTGAAGGGATTTTAGTAATAAATTTCTTTTGGACTATTACTTACTACAGTTGTACATGCGATTCAGTTTGACCAGGTCGATGGCACTGAAGTATTTGAACTGCTATGACAAGAAAATACCTTGAATTTTAACCTGTATACCGCAAATGAAGTAGAGTTAGCATATAAAGATTAAAATGCATTATATTTTGTTTTCATGTCAGCGCAAATACACATAAAATAAGTGCGCATTTACACTGTTACCACAATCGATCGTCGCACATATCGTTTTTACAAGTGAATGTGTACTTGTGTACCAGTTATGTCCATCCCTGCTCACATGGTGTGTTTCCAGTCAATGATGACAAAGTGTTTTACTAGCTAAAATGGTACAGCGCTGACCAACCCTGCTCCTGGAGATCTGCCACCCTGCGGAGCTTAGGCACGGCCCTAAGTTAACACACCTGATACAGATAATTAATCAGGCCCTTCAGTAGGATCTCAGTATTACAGCCAACTATGTTAACATAGCTACCGGAGAGCCTGATTATCTGAATCAGTTGTGTTAAATGAAGGCTGCACTTAAGCTTTGCAGCCTGGTAGATCTCCAGGGGCAGGGCTGGGTGGCCCTGGTGTATGTCGTTACGTGACTGAAATGATAATTATTTTATATACTCACCTACTGTACAGTAAGACATCCTGATTGTTATTTTATGATTACATGCTAACTACTTCTTGCCTATAAGGAGTACTTAGGCAAAGCTTTTAAAAAGACCTATGAAATTATATATCCTGGTAACTAGTGCCAAACCGCCTGTAGCACCTATTGTTCAGCACATGAGCACCAATATCAAGGGTGAGTATATCATTCTTCCATTAATTACAGCTTAAGATATCATGGTCATGACTGAGTATTAATGCCACAACAAAGCATGCCTCACTATTCAGACAGTGTCTTAAATCTACTGTAAAAGGCTTTGTGATGCAGGAAACAAGGCTGCCGTATACCCAGCTCGGCCATTGCGGGAAACAAGGCTGCCGTACACCCAGCTCGGCCATTGAGGTGAACAAGGCTGCCGTACACCCAGCTCAGCCACTGCCGGGAACAAGGCTGCGGTACACCCAGGTTGGTCATTGCAGGGAAAATACGCACAGGGCTGGAAACGGAGCTCGCCTACTCACCTGTGGTGAGTAATTCAGATGAAGGGTGAGAACAATAAAACTGAACCCTGTTCCGCTAGCTTGTAAAAAGAAAATAACAATAATTTGCATGCTGGACTACATTTTTAGCCCAGCAAAAATTCTAATCTACACAAACTCGAACCCCTGGTAATGTTTTATAAATATGTGTAGTCAAGTGGCCATTTTATGTAACTGTACTTAGTTTTGAATTGTAGCTTATGTGTGATATGTGTGCCCAGAAAATAAAAACCGTTGTGTATATATACCGTGATAATAAGAATACCAGTTCAAATAACAGGGTGGACAGAGTAATTCCTGTGTTGGGCCCCTGAGCGAGGCCCCAGAGCGAGGCCCCAGAGCGAGGCCCCCGAGCGAGGCCCCAGAGCGAGGCCCCCGAGCGAGGCCCCAGAGCGAGGCCCCCGAGCGAGGCCCCAGAGCGAGGCCCCCGAGCGAGGCCTCCGAGCGAGGCCCCAGAGCGAGGCCCCCGAGCGAGGCCCCAGAGCGAGGCCCCCGAGCGAGGCCCCCGAGCGAGGCCCCAGAGCGAGGTCCCCGAGCGAGGCCCCCGAGCGAGGCCCCAGAGCGAGGCCCCTAACTTCCACTTGCTCCAGGGACTCTCTGACCCTGCTCTCTCAGTTGTGCGTCGCTTTGAATAAATGTAAATGATCAATAATCACGATTCTTAATTATTCATAATGAATATCTATTGATTAAGACCACTTTCCTCTGTCCTCTTAATTAATGAATACTCTTGTAATACTGAAATTTTATCATTTCAGATGACAGTGTTGCTGACAGGGAGAAGTGTCCTCTAATTCATGTGCTTAAGCAGTAATAAAATAAAATGAACCAGATTTGACAATTTGCTTCCATATAATGTTCTGATTATTTTGCTCCCTCTGCTCTTGGCCAGCTTGGAAGTGCCAGGGATGTGCCAGGGATGTGCTATTCTATCTTAAAATGCTCACATTGTTAGTGACTATGGAATAAGGTTGTGGTATCGGCTGATTTGTAGCATTAGTTATTGAACAAATTATTCCACCAGCAGTAATAATGTCACAAGATCAATTTGTATCACTGGATATATCATTTTTGATTTAGAGGGTGTATTAGTCAGCTGAAATACTTGCCCAATGACTAAGACAGTTGACAGGTATATTTGTGGGGACGAGTCCGACCTAGACAGGCCATCTGGCACACCTGGCATTTGTTTGCTGGGCTAGTGGGTTTATGACTGTGAAAAAAACATAGATCTATATTTTGCATTTCTTAGTGGAGAATGCATTGAGATAAACATTATATTTATTTAATAATTTAAGCCACTAATTTTATACCTTAACATATTTGTATTCACTTAGCTTGTCAAAATATACAGTTAAAATTGTGTTATGAACAGCAATGGACTAAGGTAGGTATGTTTTTTATATGAGTCAAAAAAAAAACAAACTCATTATTTTTGTGACGCATACAGGCTAAAGGCAGGATATTATTGGTCAAAATGACCTGAACATAAACCATTTGCACACAAAAATACCTGAGGGGATGTTTGACCTTAGGAATAAATTTAAGTAATAAACTTGACTTAGTACTCTGCAGCTGTATATGCAATTCAGTTTGACCAGTCTTGTCTAGGCGCTGTCCGATTCTATCACTGAACTCTGGGATGGTAGGCAAAGTGGTATTGTGATCGGAATAAAGGAGGCAAAAATATGAATTGGGTGGGGCAGCCTGTGTGTTTAACTCCAGGTTGTGTAACACACAGAGTTTGACTCTGAAGGAACAAATCTGCTACCGGGATATTGATCTGTGCTAACTGCCGGAGAGCTCTAAGGTAGCGGGGTTATGGCTGATCCCAAAGCTCAGGCGTCTGCTTCCACCTCGATGTCATTTCCACTGACCCACTGCTTCATTAATAATCACATAGAATATGATGTCTAAAACAAACAGCTTTGTTATATGTGAACTATGAATCATGAGACTGGTTTGATTTCCTTGCATTTCCTTGCGTTTGAAACCTGTTTCTAAGTGGGGGATGAGATAACCACAGAACAGTGAGTGCACGGACAGGAGACATGCCTAAAATACAGGCACAGTGAACAATGAGCCATATTGCCACTAGGGGGCAGCAGGAACAGGAGATTCCCTGACAGCTATTATTTCTTTTGTAACTGAAAGCATGGCTTTATCGTGAGCTGTATGTCACATCGTAAAAGAAAAGCCTGAAAGAATTTTGTGAAGGATGTCATTTTCTAAAATGGCTCAATACAAAGGGCATACTGAGCTGTGGAAAAGGAGTAAGAGAGCAGAGAGATGGAAACGCAAGAACTGCCTGCCTACCGTGAACATGAAGGATGTAAGATTGTTGTGACAGACGAAGTGCTCACTTTAGTGAGGAGCCAAAAGGAAATTTGATGCACTTCACAGAATCAAGACTATAGGGGAACATGCCACACTCCAGGAGAGAGCTCTCTGCTAGCCGTGTTACAGCTGACACTGAAGCTCTGACATGCTATCATTTCTAGTGACTCACTGCTTCGTTATTAATCACATAGAATATCAAGCCTGAAATTAACAGGCTTGTTCTGTCTTTGTTATTGCGTAGAGTGTGATGTGAAATATTGTTTAATTTGCACTATGAATCACAGGACTAGTTTGATTACTTTGCAAACCAGTTTGGACAGGTTTGAAACTTTGGAGCTAAGCAAAAAGCCTTTCTATATCCCACAAAGGCACAAAATATGGGTTGCAGTAATGGGCGTGTCGATTGCTAACATTTTGACAATATCAGCATGAAATGACAAACTCAGGGACAAGAGGTGCTGAAGATCATCAGAATTCATGTAATGTTTATTGATGAGTGGAATTCCACAGTCCCTTGCACCCTCATACACCGACAATAGAGTTATTGACAATAACTATATTAGCCAATACAATTATTCTATGTTTAACCATGTGTAGCCATGTTAATGTATAGTTCTTGATTTTATGAACTCCTCCAGTCCATTGTTTTTTCTTATTTTAAATGTACTTATTATTTATGCCTCGTATATTATTTATACTTACATATGTATTTCCTTGGTTTAGTCTGTACTTTTTGGTTCCACCACAAAGGTTCCTACTTGAGTGTTGTAGGCCTGGCAGCAATCAGCGACGCATTTTTTTACAGCGCCAATTCCCATCAGAATCTGCTTGGATATGGTGCTGTGTAATTTGAGGAGAGGCTGTACGTCGCTGACTGCTCCGTTTATTGTAGGAAATAAACTACGGCCTTCACAACTGCTACTGCATGCCCGTTGTAGTCGAATCGCCGATTGCTACATATGTATGAAAATCGTAAACTGTTTACGAAAACGTCATGTAAAAAGACGCATGTTAACAGATAGTAACGCTAAGCAAACACTACAACATTTGCCATACATTGCCTACATCAGTTTTACTAGCAAGCAAGAAACTTTTTCCCTCACTTAACTTGAATAATGTAGTGACCATCTAGCTAAATTTAGCAATTTAATTTGTTTGATTTCTTACGAAAGTTACTTCCAGCTGTGATACACAGTAACCAAATAATAATAACCTAAGGGAACTCACCTGCCTTAGGCTTTCTACAACTTATGTGCTGTCAAGGGCATCAGTGTAATATGACCTGGGTCATTGCTAGCCACAAATGAATGAAAAGCGTGTTACTGGGATTTTCACGCACAGCATCGCTAGTATTTACAATGGCCCAAAACAGAAATAAAGATCCAGCGGGTGGCGCTTTACTGGGGGAAAATGCTTTGTTGATGGCAGAGGTCAGAGAAGAGTGGCCAGACTGGTTCAAGCTGATAGAAACGCAACAGTAACTCAAATAACCACTCGTTACAAACAAGGTATGTAGAAGAGCATCTCTGAATACACAACATGTTGAACCTTAAAGCAGATGTGCTACAGCAGCAAAAGATCACACACAGTGCTACTCCTGTCAACTATGAACAGGAAACTGAGGCTATATTAGGGAACGACTCATCAAAATAAGAAAATGAAAAATTGAAAAAATGTTGTCTGGTCAGATGACTCTTGATTCCTGTTGTGGCATTCAGATGGTAGAGTCACCATTTGGTGTAAAAATCTGAACCAACTGAGCATCGTTTAAATGCCAACGTCTACAGTCTGAAAAAATCATAAATATTAAGAAAATAGAAAAACACATAAATGCTGAAAAAACAATTCCATATAGGCTAATTGGCATCAACAAAATAGCAATAGAGTAAGTGTATATTCCCTGTGATGCAATGGCATTCCATTAAGCTGTCAATGTGAGTCAATTGCTATAAAACATAACCTGTTAGTTTTTATGAACAGTGCGAAATAAACCAAAAGTATCAAAGTGGCTTGTAGGGGAGTTTGTTCTTCACTTGGTCTTGCACTTACAACCTTTAAATATTTAGTAGCAAATATTACAGTGAGCTTGAATTTTAACATTTACAACATGTACCCATTTTAACGTTTGATCAGCCTGTTAGGATCAGGCCCTGCATTGCCCTGTCTGTTGTTTCCCTGCTTGGCCAGCAGGTATCAGTGGTTTTCCTATCCCTAGTGTTTTCTTGTGGTCAAATACAGTAGTATGTCCTATGTCCTTTTCCTAACCATATTTCCTTGATCTCGGTGGAAAACGTCATGAGGTGAAGGAAAGGTGTGAAGGAAAGGTTGGAAGGATCTAGGAAAAGATAACTGCAGTGATAAGAGAACCCGACTGCACTTACACTAGGCTCTACAATTATGCAGCGGCGGAAGTTATTGACGTGGGTCTGCAGTGTGAAACCCCAATGTCCGAAAATGAACTACAAGAAAAGTGCATCTTCAGCCTATACATTGTGGGACAGCATTATCTCCATAATGGATGGTCCAGTGTATCTCATGTTGAAGGAGGTAAGATAGGAAGCACCGAAGCACCTTTCCTTGGCGTTTTAGAGAATTCAAACAGCTCTCATTACGGCTGCCACTTAGATACGTCTGGGTCATTTCACTCAATTAGGAACCTTCCTAAGAAAAAAAGACTATTCAGCTGCAGCCCTTCTCAGTCAAGACCTTCTTGACTGTTAATGACCCACACTTTATCCTTGATCCACTAGCTCTAGTTTTTGGTTTGTTGTCAATGGCCACACCTGCTTCTTGTCTAGTCCTGGATGCTCGTGCATGCATGTGCCTGCCGTTGCTCCGTTCTTTAGTTAGTCATTGCATGTGTCACTGACCAGCACTGCAGTGATTGCAGTGGATGCTTTTGCTCATGATCCCTCTGCTTACCCTCGCTTGCAGTTCCATCCCTTGTTTCCCCTCCTCCCATTATGTCCCCTCTGACACACTCATCAAAAATGTCATGGGAAAACTAGTGTGGGTGGTGCTTTTATATACACAGATTGTGAAACAAAGGTCTCAATAAAGTTTTTCTTTTATATATTCCACATGATTCAAGAAACACTCCTTCAGAATGTCATGAAGTCAAAGGGCTCCTTTGAATGTTCTTCCCATAGCAGGAGTAGAAGGTGAGGTTACAGTACAGTACAGACACATCACAGAGAAGGTAATAAAAGCTTTCCTACATACATCATTTTTATAATTATTAAGTTTAAACTGCATTAATACCATTCCAGCTGGTGCCAGCTGTGCTAATATGGGGCTATTATTTAGCAAAATTATTTGCAAATGTGTATGGAGAGTTGTGTGACTGTATCTCAATCCGTGTGTACGTAATCAGATTTGTAAATGTGTAACAGAATTTGTAAATGCGTACTAAGATTTGCAAATGTGTACAGGAATCTGTAAATGTCTATTCAGAATCCAAGTGTGTAATGGGATTTGTACGTGTGTTGTACATGTGAATGCATAGACAAATCAGTAAATGTGTGCATAGATCTGTGAATGCATAGACAAATCTGTAAATGTGTGCATAGATCTGTGAATGCATAGACAAATCTGTAAATGTGTGCATAGATCTGTGAATGCATAGACAAATCTGTAAATGCGTACATCAGTATCAATAGCAAAAAAGTCTAAGTATTTTGCACCAAGAGCTGGATATACAGACATCAGTTACGACTGAGATGGGCCTCTCAGTTGGCTGTCTTTTTACATGAAGGTTTATAAAACTGTTTCGCGGGCCAGTATTTTTGTGACTCTTGTAAGTGGGGAATGAGCCAATGTAATCACTGTGGAAAATGATGCATTTTCCAACGCAGTCATCTCCATTATTTTAGTAGCTATGCCTTTGGCCCTGATTCTGATGACTTTGAATATTGATCAATTCTAAATATAGATTGGCAATATTAGCCAAGATTGATACATCAGATCAATGCTGATATCTAGATTTTTAACAAAAATTCGCCGAAAGCAATATGTTAACCGATATATCATGCATCTCTACCTCTAACGTAAGATGCACACTCTAGCAATGCATACCCTCCTAGCTAATTGCTATGTTTACGTGCTTTATATTGCATGGTATCATATAAGGAGATTCTGGTGAACGCAGTAGCATTGTCAGTCCCTCATAGTTAACTGCTGTTGGCAGAAATACCCAGGCCCAGTCCCCCACCCTTTTTGGAGTCCAGAATATTTATTGACACATCTCTACCTCTAAAGCAGTGGTTCTCAACCTTTTTTGCACCGTGACCCAATTTTTACCATGCCAGCTCAGTCGCAACTCTATATCAAGTATAGCTTTACATTAAGGCTATGATCAAGCACGCAGTGCACTGTGCAGTTTACACCAATCAATGCCTATTGCAAAATCTGATTGGATGTGCCAGTGAATTTTAAATTAAGCATCTGTGGTTCACTAGTTTTGCAATAAGCATTTGCAGGCCCAAGAGCCTTTATATAAAGTTAATTCTAGGATTATGACTGGCAAATCTGATCTTGGATCAGCATAGGAGCTTGTTAGTTTTAAAATGCTTACATTTCCAACTCTGCCTCGTGGCCCTTTCAGAACCCTTGGGTACCATAGGACATGGGAAATACCTCACCAAACAGAGAATGAATTGTTTGCAAAGGGCACTTCATTATCATTATTAGACATTCCTTCCTGGGATTTGAACCAGTGATCAAATATATCCCACAAAGGCACAAATTATTCAGAAATTTAAGGCCTATATTTTTTAATCATTCTGAAAGTTTGGTGAACTATGTGTAGCTTACATGATGGTCACTTAAAAATATGGACAAATACCTTGTTAAATGAAGTATAATGAGAACACAATTTTGAGGAACATAAGGCATATGTGACTATTTGTTTCATTTTAGTTGCTGAAGATATAACCACACAAACACCTTTGTTTTTTGGTAACACTTTGACAGGGCACAAATAATAAAGTATTATACTATTACTTATGTATTAATTAACCACGGACTTAGTCTTAGTTACATACTGATCTCATGTTCGTTCATCATGAATGAATCGTGATGCATCTTTGAAATGTAACTATATTTGTTCATGATTTGTACATAATTTGTACTTGAGTTGAGTCATAACTAAGTATTTTGGTATAAAGTAAAGTATAAAGGTTTTAAACCTTTGTTTCTCTTTTGTTCTCGAGATGGCGTTATATAAGCTGTCATTAATAACCATCCTGATGGTAATATGTAACATTTTGGCAATTGAGAAATTCATGGAAAACCCAAAGGATCTGCCCCAGGTAAGTGATCCTTACACTACAGTATTCTCTGTTTCTGAATCAGTTCCATAGGATTATACCATTGTGTTCAAATTATTCACTCCTTTAACCATTGTTAAAATTATTGATAACTGAGTTAAATCATATTTTAAATATGAAGTAAGAAGTAAGTAAATGTGTAAGTGTTGCACTGCCACAGTGAGGTCAAGGCAGAGAACAGCCGCTGCCCTGCAGTGCTATTTGAAAACTGACTCTGCCAACTGGAACTGGGGGGTGTGACAAACTGTGAGCTGTGGCCTATCAACAGGCAAGTTTCAGCCACAAGCCTGTAGANATTTGAAAACTGACTCTGCCAACTGGAACTGGGGGGTGTGACAAACTGTGAGCTGTGGCCTATCAACAGGCAAGTTTCAGCCACAAGCCTGTAGATGAAAGTATCATTATTTGTTAGACAAGCTTTAATTCTAATAATTTTTTAATTTTGCTTTTTTGTATTTCCTCATTCATATATATATATATATATATACACACACACACACACACACACACACAGTCGCGGAAAAAAAATAGAAGACCACAGCACAATTTTTTTTTATCATTTCTCAATTTATGGGTGTGCGTCTGTGTATAATATAGATTTTTCTGCAAACTGCAGCCTGGTTCTGCCCCATTTCTCATTATTGAATGGTTTCTTCCTTTCTTTATGGGACTTCAGTCCTGCTTCTAGGAGCCTGATACAAACTGTCCTAGCAGTGCACTTCACACCTGCACTTAATCTTTCCCATTCCTTGATGTCATCCTGCGATTCATGACAAAATGTCAGAAAAGTTAACGGTCATCTTTGGCATTAGGATGTGGCTTCCACCTTTTACCTGGCTGGTTTCTGGTCGTTCCCAGTGTCTCCTGCTTCCCCTTATCCTTCTGTACTGCTGCCTTAGAAACTTTGAACCTGAAAGCATCCTGCTGCTCAGCGTAACCTTTTGCCAGCAGAACCACAATTAAACCATGATTTAAAAATGCAGATTGTTTAAAAAAGAGTGGTCCCTTATTTTTTTCCATGGCTGCATGTATATATAAATATGCTACCTAAAATAGTATAGCGATACATTGTTCAAGGAGCAGAGTTATTATTTGCATTATTATTATTTCAAGCATTAGGTATTCAGTCAACTAGTTTCAGTAAAATCTACCATGCAATACATCTTCTCAGCTCTTCAGAAGCAGTACCAAGAGATGCAAATGTCCAGTTTGTCCTATTCAAGTTCAATGTGATTAGGATCTGCAGACTAGGCAGGTCAGGTCATTTGTTTAAGGTAGAGGATTACCAAAAAGAATGTNAAAGGGCAGCCACCCACGACACCCGACACCCATGGAGCTGGGGGTTAAGGGCCTTGCTCAAGGGCCCACAGACATGTGATTATTCTGCTGAGGCCGGGCTCGAACCGGCGACCTTTCCATCACAGGTAGAGAAGCTTAGCTCACTGAATCACATGATTTAAAATATATTTTTGCAAATTTAGGTAAGAGACATGGATACCAACTCTCCGAGCGTAGAAATCAGACAAATGACACAAGGTAAGGAAATGCATTCAGATGGAACATCCTGAATGGTGTCCAGTGAAGACATCATTAATGGTGCGTGGATTCCATATTGCCTGGTGGCAGTTCTGCAAACTGATGCAAAGTCAATATGCAGAGAGATTTCAAATGATGCTGTTTCCAACATAAATAAACAAATTTTACATGAATCTGTTGATTTACAGATTTTATCGTTTTATGTATGAACATTCTCTCAAGTTCAAACTCAAATGTACTGATAACCAAACAAAGTTATAAGTATAAGGGACGGGACACCAGTCCAAAGCTTCTAATGACAATGAACTTTCTTTGCCAGTGTTGTGGTCTTGACCCTGCGGTCTTTTTTGATATATCGTTTGGTCCAAGTTTTCTTTGTTCGAGAAGAACCAGTGTGGAAATGAACAGTCATAGAAAACCATTTGTGAACCAATTTTAAGTAAAACACTAATAATATGTAATACATTAATATTTCTTTGAAACAGCCTTCTTAAACATCACTGGCAAAATATAATCAATTTGTTTGTGTGTATGAAACAATAATCATTATCTTTTTTGAGGTTTCCATTGCCTGATTATACAACGTGCAGTCTTATGTATTAGCTGTTGATCGTAAACACGGTTGAATGTCTCGCCGTTTTCACTTCTCATACAGCTGTTGATACTAAATCAAACTATATTACAGCCATGGAGATGACAGTGTCAGATCTGATGTACCTTTTCGCACCTGCACCGGCCCCCTCCCCATTGAGACTGGAACTGACCACTGAAATATCTAATGCAAACTTAACAGGTAAAAACAATTTCACTGAGATTGTTGTTTCACCATTGGGTTCAAATTATTGTCAGAAAATTGTGACCTGTTTAATTGTTTAGCGACCTGTTTAATTGTTTATAACCATATACTTAGCTGAATTTGATTTCTACCCAAATATTTAGTTCCAAAGAGGCACGTTTTATTGGTTATTACTGTATATTTAGCTTGACAGCAACGTTTGCATGATTAAAAAAATTATTGCCTTGATAAATCAATAATTTTAGCGAATTTCCCTTCCCGATTTGCATTTAATTGCACACCTAATTATATTACATGTAATCTAAATTTACACACACACTGAAGCAGTAGCTATCAATAAGCTACTATAATGCTGAATAGTTATATATGGAAGACTGTTGTGTTATAAAGTTATAACTGTTAGTAAGAAGGGTTTGCACAGATAGCAGGGGTCCCTTCTCAACACACCCTGCACAGTGACCCATAGCGCTTCTAGCAGCCCGTACCATTGTATCATTTGCTGCCTACTGAAGCATTATGCCTGTAATTTAAGCTATGCTACGGTATGGCGGTATATGAAAAATTCATACCTTACGGGAAATTAAAACTGTTATACTGGATGAACCGCTATACTGCCCAACATTATATGTCATTCGTGGCTCCTTACTGTTTTACCCGAATGATAAAAGATTCCAGCGCAAACGTTTGCCTGCTCTAGGGGTGTAGGAGCTAGGGGGGGTGCAGGATATGTACCCCCTACTACTCCATTTGGATTCATTCATTCCCCCCTCCCCCCAATAAACAGATCTGTATATTTAAATTATTAACTTGTGTCCCCCCCAAATATAAATATAAAAACCTCCCCTATGCTGTTGGTTGCATATGAGCCTTGTGATGACAGCATTCAGGACACATGTAGATGCATCATTGCTATGCCATCTAATGGACAGTTCTGCCACTGTCAGCCAATGAATATGCAACTCTCACGAGGTCGTCTTTTCTGATTAGACAACCAAAGCTTCTAATGCATCCATCCTTCTTCCGAATGCTTACCCAGGTGAAGGTGACAGCAGGGCTTTCAGCCTGTTTCATGGGGTATACCCTGGACTGTTGAAAGATCATTTTCAATATCATGTGCAGAAATCTCTCTCCTGCTTTGGTATATTGCGTGCTCCAAATATGTATCATTTTTCTTTTCCAAACATCTAGTATCAAAACTGACAATCACACTGGACCCTTGATGAACAAATTTTACATAAGAAAATTAATCCTAAACATCTAAACATGACTGACTGTAATCAATTGTACACTCTAGCAAACCGTTTCTGTTCCATCTTCAGATACTAACTTTTTAAAGATATGTATTTCCTGTTAGTCTTAAGAGTGAGATTCTCCATGTGATTTTTTCCTATTGCTTCTCGTACAGGTCTTAATATTCAATCATACTATATCATTGACATTGAGCTGACAGTGTCAGATATTGCAATGATTAATTATTTGAGGGACCTTCTCAAAGAAACACAATTCCTATCTGATCTCAGTGACACTGAACTGATTAATGTGAACCTAACAACAGGTAAGAATGATCTCATACAGATTGCCCATTCAGCTAGTAATCATGATATTTTCTGGAATTTTTCAGGATTAAAATATCCCGGAGATATTTTACTCTTTTTTTTGCACATATTATTTAAAAGAAATCTTAAAAGCAGCTTTATGTTATTAAGTAGACAGAAAAATGTCTTTGCTAATGAGCAAAAAATTAAACAAATTGATAGTAACATACGTTCTTATTCGTGCCTCCTCAGTGTGTCACCCGGATGGAACTGGATTCCAGTGCAAATGTGAAGAGCAGTTTGCCTGGTCGTACAACAGCTGCATTGCATACACTCCTTGTGATGACATCATTCAAGGCACATGTGGATGCATCAGTGCCATAGCATCTGTTGGACAGTCCTGCTACTTCAAACAACGTAATGTGCTTTTTCATTTCTCTTCAGGTTGTTTTTAATGATCAAGCAACCAAAGCTTCTAATCCAGGGTTTAGCAACCTTTATGACACAAAATGTCAATTTACAATTTAGGTAACACTTCACTTAATGCGTTATACATTATACATACCTTCATAATGCATTCATAAAGTATTATAAACACTGCTATAACTATTTATAAAATGGCATAACACATTATAGCCATGTTTATTATGCATCATGAATGTTCTATGAAGCTCTCATCTATAATGCACCTTCTTAGTGCAGTATAAAGCATCCTTAATTTTTATACTGACCTTTATAATGGAGTATTAAGGTATCTATAATGCTGTACAGATGAAAGCTTCATAAACATGACTATAATGTGTTATGCCTTTTTATAAATGCATCATGAAGGCATCAATAATGCATTATGAAGAAGTAAAGTGTTACAAAATTTTCTTGCGATTCAGTGTGCCATTTCAGCATAAAAGTCTAAAATGAATTTATGACATTATAAATATTTTGTAATAGATCAGGATTTTATTCCATTCATGCAGGCTGCATGCGTATTGTTACAGTATGATGCATGGAGCAGGCAAGCAGGAAAGTAGGCGAGCAGAGCCGGTGACGCGGGTAATCGGGGTTTAATAAGCACACCAGGGCAAACTTTCACGAACATTACAACACTACATGACACCACAATGACAGATCTGGGGGATAACGATTGAGACACGGACACACATACACAAGACTAGGCAAAAGGATCAGGCAACAGGTGAGTACAATCAGGGATTAACACGAGGTAACGAGGTGGGCGTGGCACACACGAGGATCGGACGGAGCTGGGCGTGACACGTATTAAAGGCATTTTATTAAAGATACATTTTTTACTAATAAGGACATATTATCAGCCTATGATTAAACCCACTAAACTCTCACTTAACACCATTAAACAACAGAGATTAGTTTGGGTTACAAGTGACACGCTGTCCCAGTTTCAAAATATAGACTTCCAGTAACTTTATCTTCAAAATTACATTTTCAAAAAATTTTGCTTTTGGAGCAAATGTCAGTAAAAATCAAAATGCATTATACAAATACAAGTAGGATATTATACAGAAATACGGGCATCCTCAGAATGAGATCCACATCTGAGTTGTAGAAAAGGGACAGACAAATGTTTTTCATTAACATTAAATTGAACAGCAAGAAATTGTGCAGTTTTTCACTGGCCTTACGTATTACAAAACAGCCAGCCCCATTCAGAATTACATTTCCTTCCTTTTTCCATTTATTAAAAATCGGCAAAGGAATATACTTTGTCACACATTATCTAATCGCAGTGGGAGAATGTGTTTGCTCTTCATAACATCTTAAAGCCCTAATCCAGCTTCACATGTATTTATTCTAGCGCCTGACTGTAATGACACAACATATGGTGTCGGTAAGGATGGAACTACAGCTACTGCTTGCTGCCCTGCCAGTTTTACAGGAAACAGGACTGCAGTTTGTGAAAATGGGAATTGGAACATTCAGGAGAACAACTGTGTTCTCAACCCAATAATGACATTGGCATTGTTTTCTCAGGTAACACCTTTTGAATACTAATCATCCATCTACCCACCTGTTGTAATCCTGCTTAGCCAATATAAGGTGATAGAGTACATTAATCATATATACATCGTGACATTCTGAAGAACTACAATATGTTTCCACACATCATGCATGATAATACAGCGATAAGGAGAACATGCAGACTCCACACACACAGGGCGTAGATGTGATTTGATTTCCCAGCCCTGTAGATGTGAAGTAGCAGTACTATCCACTCAGCCACCGTGTCATTTCATATAGGTTAAGTTTACATTATATATTGCATTTCAAGGAAACTATTTATAGGGAAAGAATCTGATGTTTCGTCTAAATTTTATTTTAAAGCAATTATTGACTATATTGTTGTATAATTTGGTTACATCTGTCACCGAAAATATGATTTTAATTTACATCAGTTAAAATGTCATGGTTATTTACAATGCCGAATTTAAATTATAGAAAATTCCAGTGTGGTCATTGCTAACAATATGTGAGTCTGTGTTGTTTTCTACAAATCATACTATTTGTACACACTCAGTAAGTTGGAAATTCTTGACTATTCCAAAGCATTGGTACCTGGTATGAAGATTTGTTCTAAAAATGTTGTCTGTCTAAAATTCTCGTTTATTCTCTTATTAATTCTCAATTCTTTGTCCGCAGAAATTAGTTGGCCTTGATTCAGCTAACATATCATTGTTTGTGGCAAACCTTACAACAACCACTACCAGTTTTAAAACAGACATAGAAGGGTCACCGGCTACAATTTCCACCATTGTGACCATACTCAACAACGTAGCAAATGTTTCAGGAAATACAAGCACAAGTATGATGAAAGTATGTTGAAATGTCTACATTTCTGACAGATGGACTGTTCTGGTTTGCAAAGACAATTATCACTTAACACATTTAAAAATGGTGCTCTTTTTATGAAGTTGCATTTTTTTAAATTATATTTCTATTGATTAAATATACGATTTATATTTCAGGCAAACAAAAAGGACTTTTCAGGATAACAGCAGTTCCATGTCCTAAATGCTAATAGCACAATATTAACACACAATAAAAATTACATTTAAAACAGCGCCTAGTTTTAGATTTGTTTCTTTCCAAATCTTCTTTAGAATCATAAATTTTGATTTCATATGATATAATAATCATTAAATTTCTCTTTGTAGGATATTTTGGAAACAGTATCAGTTTTAGTGTCACCTGGCATGAACAAATCATGGAGTCAACTGAACGGCAATAACACAGATACAAGCTCTCTTCTTCTAGAGTCAGTAGAAAACTTTACGAAGAGCCTTTCAAGTGATCCTGTTAATATAACTAAACCAAACATTCAGTTAATCAAAACAACATTAACAAGCCCTTTCAATGAAAGCTTGAACTCGTCTCAGATATTCATCCCAAATCAAGGTTTTCCCAGCAACACGCATATCACAACAATCGTCTTTACGACTCTTGATTTTGTCTTACCTACAAAGACCAATGGAAACACTGCGATCAACATCAATGGAATCGTCATGTTGGTTTATATACATGTAAATCAAACCATTAATAACGTTTCAATGACGTTTGATAAAACAAACAAAACAAAGGGAAACAACCAGTGTGTGTTTTGGAATTTCAAAGTTTTTAATGGCATTGGAGGCTGGGATTCTACTGGATGTCAACTGGACTCTGAAACGAATGACAGCGTCACCTGTTCCTGTAACCACCTGACTTCCTTTTCGATATTAATGTCAACTTGCCCACCCAACTCCTCTATTCTGGATTTCATCACCTACACTGGAATCGGCATATCAATGGGATGCCTGGTCTTATGCCTTATAATTGAAACATTTGTGTGGAGAGTTGTCACTAAGAACAGCACGTCACACATGCGACACGTCGCTATAGTGAACATTGCTCTGTCTCTGCTGATTGCTGACATATGGTTCATCATTGGAGCAGCGGTGTCAGACGCAGGCCAGATCGCATTGAAGAATGCATGCAGTGCTGCAACCTTCTTCATTCACTTCTTTTACCTTGCCTTGTTCTTCTGGATGCTGATCTCAGCTCTCTTGCTCTTCTACCGTACCGTGATGGTTTTCTCCCACATGTCAAAGCGCACTATGATGGCCATCGCCTTCACGGTGGGCTACGGGGCACCACTCATCATTGCTATAATCACCATTGTAGTCACCACCCGCAGAGATCAATACCTGGCGACAAGGCAAGATGATGCATGTGGGACTGCCCCTAAAAATGGCCAAGTCAGGAAAGATGACATATGTTGGCTGAACTGGGACCCGACTAAGGCCCTCCTGGCATTTGTGATTCCGGCCTTGACCATCGTTGCTGTGAACCTGCTCATTCTAATTGTGATTCTGGTTAAACTACTGATGAGGGGTGTTGGTGAGAACCGTCAGTCTGAGGAGAAGAATGCTCTGGTGGTCATCGCAAGGTGTGTCGCTGTTTTGACTCCCATCTTTGGCATCACCTGGGGATTTGGCATAGGGACCATGGTGGCACCTAAAAATTTTGGAATCCAGATTGTATTTACAGTCCTTAACGCCTTTCAGGTATGTGGAAATATTAATACCTGCTATTATTGTTTTCTGACATTAAATTTTAATTTAAATGGTGTGAACTTTCCAAAAATCTGCAAAAATGAACCAGAGTTATAGTGATATTATTATGTTATTAGAATAACACAACATACTTTTCAAATATTTTTCAGAATGAAACTTTTTTTAGTTAGATGTCATTAACTATGATATTCATACAAATCCATCTTTCTTTCATATGTATCCTGAAAATACTAATAATCATATTTAAAACTTATTTTAAGGGCTTCTTCATTTTAGTGTTTGGGACGCTTATAGACAGCAGAGTAAGTGCTTATATTTTTGTATTTGGAATATTATTGGAAATTTGAGCTTTATTATACATTAGCATGTATGACACACACATGATAGAGCCCTTTTCTTTATGGACAGATTCGATCTGCTATCGCTGGAACATTTTCATTTTTGCCTTTGCTGTCTTCCCCAACAAAGGTAACGCCATCATTGCATTTCTTGTGTAATGTTCAGTTTTCCCATTCTAAGTGTTTCATAGACACAGAAAAACACTTACACCATGACATTTTTTATTACTCTACTCATTTCATATAACTGCAGCAGATATACTCAGAACAAAAGCAATCCTTCTATTATATACATGCCCCTCCACAATTATTGGGGCCCCTAGTAAAGATGTGTACTTAGGCTTATAATAAATTCATTTTTTATTGCAGTAGCTTAATCTCAGAATGAAAGAATTCTAAAAATCCATCAGTAAGAAATAATTATTTTTAACAAAATCACGGTACCACAATTATTGGCACCCCTGCTGTTAATACTTTGTAAACGCCCCTTTTTCCAATTGGACAGAACTTAATCTTCTCCGATAATATTTCACAAGGTTGGAGAATACACAGAGAAGGATCTTTGACCATTCTTCTTTGCACAATGTCTCTAGTTCTGGGTCCTCTCTTATGCACTCTCCTCCTCAGCTCGCCTCACAGGTTTTCTATGGGATTTAGGTCTGGGGACTGAGCTGGCCATGGAAGAAGGCTGATTTTGTGTATAGCGAACCATTTCTATCTTGGTTTGGCCATATATTTTGGATAATTATCCTGCCGAAAGACTCAATGACGGCCCATTTTCAGTTTTCTGACAGAGGCCACCAGATATTTATTTAAAATGTCCCAGTATTTCCCAATGCCAAGTACTCTAGCAAGGTTCCCAGGGCCTTTGGAAGGGAAACAGGCCAACAGCATCACAGATTCTCCACCATGCTTAACAGTGGGCATGCGGTGCTTTTCCGCATATTCATCCTTTGTTTTACGCCAGACCCATCAGGAGTGTTTGTTGCCAAAAAGCTCAATCTTAGTCTCATCTGAGCAAAGCACATGGTTCCATTTAAAGTCCCAATAGTGTTTAGCAAAGTCCACACGTTTACAATTGTGATTGCAGGACAGCAAAGGCTTTTTCCTGGCACGCCTCCCCAACAACCTGTTGCCATGTAGATAGCATCTAATGGTTGTTATGGAGACTCGGTGACCCCAAGATGTCACCCTTTGCTGCGGTTCTCTAACAATGAGCTTTGGAGATTTTTTTACGTCCCTTACCATCCTCCTCACATTGCGTGGTGGCAAGATAAACTTGGGTCCTTGTCCAGCCTTCTTTGTCACAGTTCCAGTGACAAATTATTTATTAATTATTGTAGATATGGGCAAGTTTAGCCGAGTAGCTATTTTCTTGTAGCCATTTCCTGATTTATGAAGATCAACACGCATCAGCCTTACTTGATGGCATGTTCTCTTGCCTTTCCCATTTTGAAGAATGGATAAGAGAAATGGGCCTGTGTGTCGCATCATATTTTTACCCCAAGAAACAGGAAGTCATAGATTACTAATTAAAAGTTCCTAGACACTCTGATCGACTTGAAAAAGTAAAGTATGAATTATAAAATTGCATCCATAAACGCATTCATTTATAGGAATTGTTATGGGTGCCGGTATTCGTGGCACCGGTGATTTTGTTGAAAATAATTATTTCTTAATGATTGATTTTAAAAAAAAAATACTCGAGTTGAAGGTTAGATTTTTCTGATTCCTGCAGTGTGAGATTATGCTACTGCAATAAAAAATGAATCGATTATAAGCCAAAGTACAAATGTTTACCAGGAGTGTCAATAATTGTGGAGGGTGCCATGTAACGTAAAAGTTGGTACTCTAGGTAAATGTGACTATTTGCAATTTTGAGCATCAGAGGGAAGATAAATGATGTGTGGTATGTTCTGTCTCACAGAGCACAAGTGCTGGTCCATCTTCATCTTCTTCGGGTGACCATTTCAAGCAAAAGGGAAAGAGTAAGTTAAATTTAATTTTTTATTTATTTATTAATGTTACTGAAATTAACTCCAAGTACTGATGGGGATGCTTTGTGTCTGTATAATAATGATATGAAAGATATCCCTTTCTATGTCCAGTTTATGTCAGTGCCTAATAAAAGAAAATCACACAGTTTGAGTGGTTTCTAGTGGATGCCACATTCGTTATGTTGGTGCCATAAGTAAATGTTAATCTGTGAATTGCAATGTGGAGTAAAACACCTTTATGTTCTTTATTTTTCAGAAAGGTAAAATGTTTCCAGCCTACAGCAAGTCAAGGAGCATATGGCATATTCTTCCATACTAATCAACCTATTCTTAAAACATTCTAGGTTTTCTTTTTTAAAGTTTTTTTTTTATTTAACTTTTAGTAAACTTGAAATGAAACATTAGCAACATTGAAAACCTGTGAAATGTGAGAAAGTCTATGCAAAGAATAAATATATGTTGTATATACATGCAACACTATACCTAACATATAAAAATATTTACCATTCATTTGAATGCCTTTTCACATGTGTACATGAATAAGGGGAACAATCAGAAATCTGAAAGTGTGCAGAAACTTATTCACTTAAATAATGATAATAAATTTTTAAATTATTATAAATGTATTATTTTTTTAAAATGTCCCCCAACCTGAGTAGCTCAGGTACGAATTAATGCTTCAGCTTGGTACTACACTGTGCTAAGTGGTTGATATTCCAGGGATATTCACGAGACAAAAGGATTCAGAGACACTCCATGCAGACAAAGACCCCAGAAGTAATAAGGTTTTTGTGGGACACTGTACCAAAAGTTGCTGTGCATGCACAGCTGGCCCAGGCTAAGCATATGGGCAGTCTGACGTGTGCCCACCTCGATGTGGAATGGTTTGAGCGTTAAGGAAGGAATCAATGCTAATTAAATCCAGGCTAGTTCAATTAAGCGCAGATTTGTTTAGTGACCTTGGTGGTATACCCTCCAAAACACAGGACAAAAATCTGAAACAGGACCAAATGCAAGAATAGAAGCATTGAGTGACAAATGTGAAAGAGCTTGGCAGGGGCACAAGACAATCAAACCGATTGGGAGCTGAAGTCAGGTGATCTCTGGGAGTGGAAGACGGGAGACAAGCCTAAAACACAGGCACAGTGAACAGTGAGCCAGATTGCCACTAGGGGGCAGCAGGAACAGGAGATTCCATGACAGTTATTATTTCTTTTGTAACAGAAAGCATGACTTTGTTGTAAGCTGTGTGTGACATTGTAAAAGAAAAACCTGAAAGAATTTTGTGAAGAATGTCGTTTTGTGAAGAATCTGAAACGGCTCAAAACAAAGGGCATACTTAGCTGTGGAAAAAGAGTAAGAGAGCAGAGAGATGGAACCGCAAGAACTGCCTGCCTACCGTGAACATGAAGGATGCAAGATTGTTGTGACAGATGAAGTGCTCACTTTAGTGAGAAGCCAAAAGGAAATCTGATGCACTTCACAGAATCAAGACTATAGGGGAACATGCCACACTCCAGGAGAGAGCTCTCTGCTAGCCATGTTACAGCTGGCACTGAAGCTCTGACACCTGTTTTCATCTTGCTATCATTTCTAGTGACTCACTGCTTCGTTATTAATCACATAGAATATCAAGCCTGAAATTAACAAGCTTGTTCTGTCTTTGTTATTGTGTAGAATGTGATGTGAAACATTGTTTAATTTGCACTATGAATCACAGGACTAGTTTGATTACTTTGCAAACCAGTTTGGACAAGTTTGAAACTTTGGAGCTAAGCACAAAACCTTTCTATATCCCACAAAGGCACAAATTATGGGTTGCAGTAATGGGCGTGTCGATTGCTAACGTTTTGACAATATCAGCATGAAATGACAAACTCAGGGACAAGAGGTGCTGGAGATCATCAGAGTTCATGTAATGTTTATTAATGAGTGGAATTCCACAGTCCCTTGCACCCTCATACACTGACAATAGAGTTATTGACAATAACTATACTAGCCAATATAATTATTCTATGTTTAAACATGTAAAAAACATATAAATTATGTATAAAAACTTTATGTGAAAAGTAGGCCTGTAACGATGAATCACGAATTGGTTAAAAATCGATGCAAATGTATGATGACTTAAACCGGCTGATGTGGAAAATTAATCGCTGCTTTAGGAGTACTTCACGGTAGTTTACTTAACAGGAAAAACTGGTGTAATATTACATTTGATTTTACTACATCATTTCGACGTCAGATGTCACTGCGTATTCACGTTGACGTTGTACTTGAAATTGAGGACGCATCCCCCGATCTTAAATCGTCTTGGAGGTGCAAGTCAATCTGGATCAATTCAAAGCAGAGGATCATTACATAGCCGTATTCATAGCTTACCTGAGGCCTCTCTCCCTGGTACTTAATATGAACATCTTTCTGGTACATCCCATCTCTTTCCCTTGACGAGGTACTGTATGATAAAATGGTTATAGGAGAGGATTGCTGAGAATATTATTTTCCATCAGGCCTCGTAACTATGACAAATCTGGGAGATTTTAAATGAGAGACATATGGACAATATAATTGAAAAGATAACATGAATTTGATTTAATGAGTAATGACACTTTACAGCAATGCCTTTTTTCTCTACAGTTAATCTAAGTAATGTGATGTTAGTTCTAGCCCTAGTCTGTTTTCGGTCTTGGTCTTGACCAGTCTTGGTCTTGGTCTCGCCTTAGTGTGTTTTGGTCTTGGACTTGGTACCCTCAAGTCTTGGCAGTGTCTTGGTCTTGATACCCTCCGGTCTCTGCAATGTCTTGGTCTCGGTTTAGGCGGTCTTGACTACAACACTAGAAAAAGCAGACGATCGGGGTAGGACACATTGTTTGGATACATTTATTTTCTTACTTTAAAAATTAGTTTTGATAAATGTGCTTAGATGTGTTTAGTACAGTATATGCTCTACTTGTTTTATCTGGTACATTTTGTGTTTAAATGCAAAAAAAAATTGGCCGGGAAACAATTAATTGGTTTTCCATTATTTCTTATGGGGAAATTTCGATCAGAACTCGAACTTTTTAGGATTCGATCCGGAGTCCTGAGGTACCACTGTATAGGATTGTCTAAAATGTCATGGTGTGCTGAAGCATTAAGAGTTCAGTTTACTGGAACTAAGGGGTCTAGCCCAACCCCTGAAAAACAACCCCATACCATTACCCCTCCTCCACCAAACTTTACAATGCAGCCAGGCAGGTAACATTCTTCTGCCATCCAAGAGTTGTCCATCAGACTGCCAGACAGCACTTCACAGAACATATTTCCACTGTTTCAGATTCCAGTGGCAGTGTACTTACACCTCTCTATCTAACAGTTGGCATTGTGCTTGGTGATGTGAGGCTTTCATCCAGCTGTTTGTCCATGGAGGCCCATTCAGTGAAGCTCCTGGTGCAGTTTTTGCGCTGGGGTTAATGCCAGAGTTAGTTTAGAACTCTGTAGTCACTGAATGAACAGAGCATTAGCAACTATATGACCCCGTTCTGTTACTCTATGTGGTCTGCCACTTTGTGGCCGAGTTTCTGTTGTTCATAAATGCTTCCATTTTGCAATAATGCGACTTACAGTTGACCATGGAATATCTAGCAGGGATGAAAAACTGACTTATTGAAAATGTGGTATCTTATGACGGTACCACGCTTGAATTCACTGAGCTCTTCAGAATGACCCATTCTTTCACAAATGTTTGTAAAACTGTCTGCATGGCTAGGTGCTTGATTTTATACACCTGTGGCAATGAGTCTGAATGAAACACCAGAATTCAATGACTCAGAGGTGCATTCCAGTGCTTTTGTCCATATACTACCACCCATGGCCTGGAGCACTTCTGTTTTGTAAAGGTCACCCGGCACCTAAGTGCAAAACACACACTGCAGAACATACCCAAAATATTAAGGAATCCAAAACAGAAAAATCATGAACACTAAAAAAAATTCTGAAAAAAATATTCCACTGTTAGGCTAATTTGCATTAATAAAATAGGAAGGGTGTATATGCATGTGCCCTGTGATGAGGATTGAGGAGTAACGGAATACAAGTAATTGTGGTACGCATTCTAGATACAAAAAAAAAAAAGACTGTATTCCATTATAGTTTCTGAGAAAAAGAAATGTAATCAGACTACAGTTACTTTTGTAATAAAGCAAGATTACTTCTAGATTAATAAATCTGAAATGGAAAATGGTTATCTGATGTGTTTATAAAGAATGTGATGCTGACATCACACTGTTTTCTGTGTTAACAATCAATCATCAATCCTTCCAACTTGCAGCATAAGTCCCTCCTACCTCTAGCATAAATCCCTTTCACTTGCGGCTGGCTACAGGCTGCAGATGTACCCTTCTTGATCACTCTGCTTTTTTTTTTTTTACATATTATTTCTCACACTCCATTTGATGAGAGCGACGCTGCTGTGCCAGATGGACACCCATAAAATGATCCGTTTAACTTGTGGAAATTTCTCAATTATTTTGTTTTTAAGGAGGAAAGAAAAAAAAAACACACATCGCACTATGAAATTATGTCGCTGTTACGTCCCGCATGGTTTGGGATGAGATGTGGGGATTCTCTGGGCTCTTCGTGTTTGTTCTTTTTTTTCTCTTCTAACATGAAGATGCGTCGGGACCGGATTGGGGGATTGATGACTCCGCCTGTCGTCCCGGTTGGCCGTCCAGCCGGCACGGCACTTTTAAAAGCAAGCCCGGCTTGCTAGAGAGAGATCTCTTGGAGCACAGCCGCATTTGTTTTCATTTGATACTGCCCATGGTTGTCCGGTCGTTGCCACAACCAGTAATGCTAATCGCTTTGTAAAATGTACATTTAGATGTAAGACTAAGACCAACCACTAACAGCTACAGAGATCCAGGTATTGATACCCAAAGTAAGCAGGTATCAATATTCAAAGTACTATGCTCTTTGCACAAAGCTTTAGAGGTACACAGGCAACCAGCATTTCAATACTACTTCTACAGATCAACTGTACCATAGTTCAGTGCCATTTTACTTGTATAGCCCAAATCACATGAATCAAGTTTTGTAAACCCTCAAATCACATAGACGACCCTCATACAGGATAGAATAAGTTCCAGTGAAGGCCAAACTGCATTCACCAGTATGAGTGATGTTACTTGTTCCTTACTGTATCTAGAGTGGAAAAATGCCATATGGAGATGTGGCCTCCACTATGATAGTTAAGAAATGACTATGCCACTCCCGGTTAAACAGGTGGGAGAACCCGACAACTATACCTCACAACCAATCCCCCCGCCCGCGCTCGTACTAGACAGGCTATGCAGAACACTGCTGTTGTAAATCCAATTTTTTTTTTAATTTTCACAGAATTAAAAAAATAAACCAAAAGCACACAGTAATGCCTAAAAAATAATTCACTAAGCATTGTTTTTTAGGCATTACAAGAGTCAGATCAGACAATAGGCCAAGGTATTAAACAAGCTAGAATAGACCAAAAAAGGGGCACTAAATAATGCTAATAGCAATCTATAAACTGCCCCAATTGCACTAACATAGGGTGACCAGATAATCCATGTCAGGAAGGACACTCAGCTAGGTCACGAATTGCAAATTACCATTTCAATTAAAAGGACCTGAATTTCACTTGAGCGCTGAGCTCTTGCTGTGTGCTGATTAGTCAGTCTCCTATAATCATGCATTAGTGTTACTAATGCTAATATGAAACAGCTGGATGAGTCTTTCAGTCAAGGAAACAAACCAGTCAAAGCACAAGAAGAGCTGAACTATTTAGCCGAGCATAGGAGCCTTTCAATTTGAAAGTAGTTTGTAAAACCCGAAGTAGCTCAAACTGTCCTCCCTGACATGGAATATCTGGTCACCCTACACTAACATAGGGCACTATCTGCAACCCCCACTATTGGTATGCTAGCACATAGTAGCTATAATTCTAGGTAAACGGCAGGCGGATTAATTAGTACAAATCAACAAAAAGAAATAGAAAAAAAGGTTTTACACCGCAAACACACAATCAACAAAATGAAAGGTACAAAAAAGTTAATCCCCGCACCACAAAAGAAAAAAACCCACACACACTTCAAGTCAACATGCGATCAACACACAGCACACTCAAATACACTTTGTCACACGCGGCACAACGAAAGAACAAATTAGCTACCCACTAACCCCAGGGACCTGTACTACGAAGCGGGGTAACTGGCTTATCGGGGTAACTTTACAAGTAACTTGATGACGTGTGGTGTAACTTCCCGATTAACCCGTACTACGAAAGGTGGGTAGGTTTTAGTCGAGACATGTTGCTATGGCAATTTACGCTAAGTCTCAAAACTGCCCCGAGCAGTTTTTGTTCTTGGTTAAGTCGCGGTTTCCGCGTAAGCCAGCCCTATATGAGCACCGCCCCTCCCACTACAATTTCTCCGAAGACAATGCCAGCGTGCCTGGATGATCCGTACGACATTGGAGCGTGAATCGTGAGGGGCTCTCTCTGTTAATATGTATGAAATGGAGCAATGGCATATAATATGCATACAATGTATTAATTAATAACTGTACATGTTACAGAGAAAGTTATTCTAAAAACCCAAGGGGTGTGCATTGTTCCCTGTTGTCCACTGATCAAAGCACACTTCACTAGATGTGCCTGTCTTGTTTTAAAGTTATTAACCCATTCATGTATTGTCCCATTGCACAGTATACGGATACATTCGAACATTGAAAAAATTAATTAAAATTCGTATGTAAAGCAATCTGGGAAACAACGGGATGTGGAACAGTCGCCATGAGCCCAAAATACTAAACCATCATGTCACAGGCTGAAAGGACCTATTATATTAGCTATTAACATGATTTGACACAAATCACAAAATGTTTTGAAGCGGATAAATAATCGGTGTGCATCGATGTCTGTGTACTGGACATCACAATTCTGTCATTAAAAACGCCCACCTTACTTCCGTAAAGATATTAAAGCCAGAAAACGGAATATGGAATATGAGGCTAACTTGAGGCTAACTTAACCGCGGTGACAGGTTCCTAGTCGTTTTCTCACTACACATATGCTTCTGTTTTGTCCTGTTGTAAATCATGTAATTGTTTGATAAACAGTGGCTCGCTTTCCATTAAGTGTCATGAACAGACACCTTTTTATTATTAGCTGTAAAACATAGAAACATGCTATTAAGTGGAGGCTAGACACAACAAATCTTTCATAATGAGTAGAACTATAAATACATAGCCCTACCACTTGACATGATGATGTTTTTATATTTCATCTTGACTTGCTGCCATGTACGCTTTCCACTGGTATTGCATTTGAAATCGGATCAGTTATTGTTAACATTAGGTTTACATTATGAGTAACATTACAGTAATGGAACTTCAGGGAGCATTACATTACTTAGCAGCATATAATAGGTGACTTTTGAATTGTGTCGCATCTGTTAGCCTCTGTAATTATTAACAGTATTTCAATTCTCTTCAGAAAACACTTCATTGTCTAATACTCAGTCGTGAGATATTTTAGACCACGTTTTATGACCGTGGAAATGTACGTATGCATTTTCTCCGTCGTCAATACGTTGCCAACAAGCCTGCCTGCTTTTGTTGGCTGCAGTGGTATTGGACTTTCTTTACAGTGTTGATTTAAACTCCTCATAACCCTGCATAATTAGCATGCAGTCTTCCTCCGTGAAACATATGGAGATCACGCTATGCGTCAAACGGTGCCTTGCGTTGCCGAATGTGCTCCATATATGTGAACGCGCACAAACTCCAAATCAACAAATCAACTTCTTAACTGGCGTCGTAGTACTGATTAGCCCCGATGGAGTCAACCTGATTTTGTCAACCTCGCGTTCGCAAATTACCTCTGGGTTAAGTCTGATTTGGTTAAACCCCCTTCGTAGTACAGGCCACTGGTGAAGTAAGTATTGCACATCCGATGGTGGCCGCCGATTGCTGCAGAAGGATTGCAATAGCCCAAATACCGTAACGGTTTTACCCGATGCTAAGCATCAAGGTAACCAGTTAGCTACAACAGAAACCCATATAACTCCCAAACCATTCGACTAGCTGCAACATGTAGACATGTACTGTAAAACAGGTAAATATTACTGCGCCGTCTGCGCAACCAGAGCTCACAAAGCAAATGCCAGGAATCAAACTAAAATTTTAATATGGGGAGGGGGGGAGTGGCCTTCCGTTTAGTTGTTTAGGCTCTACCTGCATCTCGACTACGCTGGCTTACAGTATCTTTTGCTACAGCTGAGCTCTCCCCACCAAACAACGCTTCTCCGTAGATTGATAACCCCCGCAACTGACCCTGGAGGGTATCGCTACCCACGGCTTGCCACCGGCTCACAAGCGCTCCAGTCAACTACCGAGCCGACGTGCCATGCTAAGTGCGCTGCGGATGTTTCATCCTGTAGGTGAAACCACGCTGACCCTGGTGCATTCCTCTTGGGTCCTAACGCCCCACTCACTAAGACACTGCATGAAGAAAAAAATCCAGGAAATGAGCTAATATCATGGGTAATAGCAGCAACAGCTCCTACAGGCTACAGACACATTTTCTGTTTAAGGATTTTCACCCTTAAGGCGTTCCATAATAATGTATGTATATCATTATTTTAACAACACAGTTCTGTTGCCCAGTAAAAAAGTGTTCTTTTTGACAATTCCTTACTCGTCTTTAGTTGGCATTGACTAAAAGTAACTAGTTACATTACTTTTATTTTAAGATGCTTAGATTACGTTACTGATTACATTTTTCAGCAGGTAACTAGTAACTATACTAGATTACATTTTTAAAGTAACTTACCCAACCCTGCCTGTAATGCAATGGCATTCTATCGAGCTGCGAATGTTATATAACAAATTACGGTGAGTATAGTGTCACTTATAATCTAAAGACATCTAACTAAGGAATAAAACATTCTCCATTCGATTATCATATCATTCACAACTGCTATAAAACACATTTGTTAGTTTTTATTAACAGTGACAACCTGTCAAATACAAAAGGGCCTTTCAGGAGAGTTTTTTGTTCACTTGGTCCTGCACTCACAAACGTGTACATGTTTAGTAGCAATTACAGTGAGGCTGAATGTCGTAAGTCCTTGTTAACATTAGATCACTCAGCAAAAACGTTAACCATGCCTGAAAAATAAACCGGTATGGGAGGTGCCTATACATAGACAAAAGTTTCAATAAAGTTTTTCTTTTATATGTTACACATTCACAACATACCTCTCAAGAATACTATAAAGTCACAAGGGCTACTGTTAATGCAAGGAGTAGAAGGTGAGGTTACAATACAGTACAGCCAACTTCACAGAAGGTAGTAAAAGCTTTCTTACTGTACGTCATTTTTAGCATTATTAAGTTTAAACTGCATCAATACCATTCCAGCTGGTGCCAGCTGTGCTACTATGAGGCTATTATTGCAGCAAATTTATTTGCAAATGTGTATGGAGAATTGTGTGACTGCATCTTAATCCGTGTGTGCGTAATCAGATTTGTAAATGTGTAACAGAATTTGTAAATTCGTACTGAGATTTGCAAATGTGAACAAGAATCTGTAAATGTATATTCAGAATCCAAGTGCGTAGTCAGATTTGTATGTGTAATGAGACAATGCGTAGACAAATCTATCAAAGCGTGCATAGATCTATGAATGCGTAGACAAATCTATAAATGCGTACATCGGGATCAATGGCAAACAAGTCAAGGTATTTTTCTCCAAGAGCTGAAAATACAGACAAGTCATCAGTTACGACTTAGACGGGCTTCGATTCAGTTGGTTGTCTTTTTCACGTGATTTTTGCTACACTTTTGCCGTGGCAGATTTACAAATTTGTGTGGAGATTTGTCTATGTGTGGAGGTTTTGGGGGCGTGGAGCTTAGCGCTGTCCCACTCCCATGCTTTTGAGGGCTTAAGTGTGGAACGCTGTCAGTGTATAAACCGCGAGACAGAATTCCTCTCGACAAGGATTTTTTTTCCTTCTATAATTCTCCACATGGTGCTTTTTACTCTCTAGACACAGTAAAAAATACCCGTGTTTGGACAGCATAAAAATACAGACAAAATACACACGTCACTGAAATTTAAGGCAGATATTCTTGATTCATTCTGAAAGTTTGATGGACTATTTTGCATGTGAGGGCTTACATGACGGTCACTTAAAAATATAGTTCTAGGTGTAAAATTAGTTCACTGGGCCCTGGGACAAAAATGAACCATACCCCCCCCTTCCAAATTTACACCTAGGGCCTGCCTAAGCCAGCTGCAGCAGTTGCAGATGATGAAATTTATGTAGCCTACAAATATTGTACCCATCATGCTCTGCAGTATTCAGCAAATTATAAAAACATGTTTTTTTTTTCCATTAAATACAGTATATGCCTGGAAAACATAGTTTCACTTTTACATATTAAAATTGTTTTAAGTACTGTGCAAAATATTCTTTTGTCTTATGACTCCCATCATAATGAGACTGTATACACAATAATAAGAGATACAAAAGTAGCATTTCTCAGATATGTACAGCATGACATCAATGCTTTAATCCTCTGGAATGTTTCACATATAGTTGGAAAGGGGCCCGCAATGTTCCTGGGGTGTCACAGGCCTGGGGGCAGCTGCCCTGCTTACCAGCCAATGCTAAAATACAATGAAGACTTTTGACCGAAAATATATAGATAAAAATAAGCATAATGACAAAACAATTCTGAAGAACTTAAAAATATCTGACTATTAATTTTAATTGCTGAATATATAACAATATATCTGAATATATCACAAACACCTTAGTTTTTTTTTTTTTCATTTTTAAAACTTTGTTTCTCTTTTGATCTCGAGATGGCGTTACATAAGCTGTCATTAATAACCATCCTGATGGTAATATGTAACATTTTTGCAACTGAGGAATTTATGGAAAACCCAGAGGATCTGCCCCAGGTAAGTGATCCTTACACTACAGTATTCTCTGTTTCTGAATCAGTTCCATAGGATTATACCATTGTGTTCAAATTATTCACTCCTTTAACCATTGTTAAAATTATTGATAATTGAGTTAAATCATATTTTAAATATGAAGTAAGAAGTAAGTAAATGTGTAAGTGTTGCACTGCCACAGTGAGGTCAAGGCAGAGAACAGCCGCTGCCCTGCAGTGCTATTTGAAAACTGACTCTGCCAACTGGAACTGGGGGGTGTGACAAACTGTGAGCTGTGGCCTATCAACAGGCAAGTTTCAGCCACAAGCCTGTAGAACAGAGTCAAGAATAAAATGCATTTTTTTGTTAGTCAAGCTTTAATTCCTATTATCTTAATATTAAAATAATGTCAACCATTTTGCTTTTTTTGTATTTCTTCATACATATATACACACATATGTGTGTGTGTGTGTGTGTGTGTGTGTGTGTGTGTGTGTGTGTGAGCGGGTTTACCTATCCTTATGGGGACATAATGTCCCCATAACGTGATAAATATTCGTTATTTTATAAAAATCGGTGACTGCTATGAAAAAACTAAAAATGCAAAAACTCTTGTATTTTGTTAGGTTACTTATGGTTATGGTTAGGGCAGGGTAGGGGTTAAGGTTATCATAGTTAGCGTTAGCATTTTTCATTGAAATGAATGAGCGGTCCCCATAAGGATATGTTTACCCTACATGTGTGTGTGTGTGTGAGCGCTACCAATTTTTTATTTCAAGCAATAGGTATTATTCAGTCAAGTAGTTTAATGGTTTTAGCTAAATCTACCATGCAATAAATCTTCTCAGGTCTTCAGAAGCAGTACCAAGAGATGCAAATGTCCAGTTTGTCCCATTCAAGTTCAATGTGATTAAGATCTGCAGTCTAGGCAGGTCAGGTCATTGGTTTAAGGTAGAGGATTACCAAAAAGAATGTGATACTTTATTAATCCTTGTGGGGAAGTTCTCTTTACCGCCTACCCCATCTTGCTCTCCATGAGACATAGATGACAGCAAGCTTGGGGATCACAGCAAAGGGCAGCCACCCACGACACCCGACACCCATGGAGCTGGGGGTTAAGGGCCTTGCTCAAGGGCCCACAGACATGTGATTATTCTGCTGAGGCCGGGCTCGAACCGGCTACCTTTCCATCACAGGCATATAGGCTTAGCTTACTGAATCACGTGATTTAAAATATATTTTTGCAAATTTAGGTAAGAGACATGGATACCAAATCTCCAAGCGTAGAAATCAGACGAAAAAGACAAGGTAAGGAAATGCATTCAGACTGAACATCCTGAATGGTGTCCAGTGATGACATCATTAATGGTGCGTGGATTCCATATTGCCTGGTGGCAGTTCTGCAAACTGATGCAAAGTCAATATGCAGAGAGATTTCAAATGATGCTGTTTCCAACATAAATAAACAAATTTTACATGAATCTGTTGATTTACAGATTTTATCGTTTTATGTATGAACATTCTCTCAAGTTCAAACTCAAATGTACTGATAACCAAACAAAGTTATAAGTATAAGGGACGGGACACCAGTCCAAAGCTTCTAATGACAATGAACTTTCTTTGCCAGTGTTGTGGTCTTGACCCTGCGGTCTTTTTTGATATATCGTTTGGTCCAAGTTTTCTTTGTTCGAGAAGAACCAGTGTGGAAATGAACAGTCATGGAAAACCATTTGTGAACTAATTTGAAGTAATACACTAATAATAAGTAACACATTAATATTTCTTTGAAACAGCCTTCTTAAACATCACTGGCAAAATATAATCAATTTGTTTGTGTGTATGAAACAATAATCATTATCTTTTTTGAGGTTTCCATTGCCTGATTATACAACGTGCAGTCTTATGTATTAGCTGTTGATCGTAAACACGGTTGAATGTCTCGCCGTTTTCACTTCTCATACAGCTGTTGATACTAAATCAAACTATATTACAGCCATGGAGATGACAGTGTCAGATCTGATGTACCTTTTCGCACCTGCACCGGCCCCCTCCCCATTGAGACTGGAACTGACCACTGAAATATCTAATGCAAACTTAACAGGTAAAAACAATTTCACTGAGATTGTTGTTTCACCATTGGGTTCAAATTATTGTCAGAAAATTGTGACCTGTTTAATTGTTTAGCGACCTGTTTAATTGTTTATAACCATATACTTAGCTGAATTTGATTTCTACCCAAATATTTAGTTCCAAAGAGGCACGTTTTATTGGTTATTACTGTATATTTAGCTTGACAGCAACGTTTGCATGATTAAAAAAATTATTGCCTTGATAAATCAATAATTTTAGCGAATTTCCCTTCCCGATTTGCATTTAATTGCACACCTAATTATATTACATGTAATCTAAATTTACACACACACTGAAGCAGTAGCTATCAATAAGCTACTATAATGCTGAATAGTTATATATGGAAGACTGTTGTGTTATAAAGTTATAACTGTTAGTAAGAAGGGTTTGCACAGATAGCAGGGGTCCCTTCTCAACACACCCTGCACAGTGACCCATAGCGCTTCTAGCAGCCCGTACCATTGTATCATTTGCTGCCTACTGAAGCATTATGCCTGTAATTTAAGCTATGCTACGGTATGGCGGTATATGAAAAATTCATACCTTACGGGAAATTAAAACTGTTATACTGGATGAACCGCTATACTGCCCAACATTATATGTCATTCGTGGCTCCTTACTGTTTTACCCGAATGATAAAAGATTCCAGCGCAAACGTTTGCCTGCTCTAGGGGTGTAGGAGCTAGGGGGGGTGCAGGATATGTACCCCCTACTACTCCATTTGGATTCATTCATTCCCCCCTCCCCCCAATAAACAGATCTGTATATTTAAATTATTAACTTGTATCCCCTCCAAATATAAAAACCTCCCCTATGCTGTTGGTTGCATATGAGCCTTGTGATGACAGCATTCAGGACACATGTAGATGCATCATTGCTATGCCATCTAATGGACAGTTCTGCCACTGTCAGCCAATGAATATGCAACTCTCACGTGGTCGTCTTTTCTGATTGGACAACCAAAGCTTCTAATGCATCCATCCTTCTTCCGAATGCTTACCCAGGTGAAGGTGACTGCAGGGCTTTCAGCCTGTTTCATGGGGTATACCCTGGATTGTTGAAAGATCTGATTGACAAATTTTCATTTTCAATATCATGTGCAGAAATCTCCCTCCTGCTTTGGTATATTGCGTGCTCCAAATATATATAATTTTTCTTTTCCAAACAACTGGTATCGAAACTGACAGTCGCACTGGACTCTCGATGAACAGATTTTACATAATGCAAGAAAATGAATCCTTAAGGGACCTTGAGAGATCTAAACCTGACTGATTGTTATCAATTGTACACTCTAGCAAACCATTTCTGTTCCGGCTTCAGATAATAACTTTTTAAGACACAACATGTTGTCCTGTTAGTCTTAAGAGTGACTGAAATTCTCTCCATGCAAAGTTTTCCTATTGCTTCTCTTACAGATCGTAATGTTAAATCATACTATATCATAGACATTGATGTGACAGTATCAGATATCGCAATGATCGATTATCTGAGGAACTTGCTCAAAGAAGAACAATTCCCAGTTGTTTTCAATAATGACACTGAACTAATTCATGCGAACCTAACAACAGGTAAGAATGATTTCATGCAAACTGCCCATTCACCTACTGATCATGATATTTTCTATATTCTTTTTTTTCCAGAATTACAATGTCCTGGAGATATTTTACTCTTTTCAGAAATACAGTGGTACCTCAGTACTTGAACTCATTAGAACTCGAATTTCTTAGAAGTCGAACCAAAAAAAAAATGACCTAGAACTCGATCTGAATTTCAGAAGTCGAACCGTGAACGCTGACCTAAGATAACTTGTATACGCGGGGAAATGAGTCACGCGGCATGTCTCCCAGTGGAAACAAAGCGTAACGCTTCAGTCTCAGCCTCGCATTCGCTGTGATAGCATCGTTTGTTGGTGACAGTGCTTTTTTATTGAAGATGTCAGATAATACACTGTACTTTATATCATTTTGGTAGCCATTGCACATTGTTTTATTACTTTACAAATTTGACACGCCCAGCTCGTACAATCCTCCTGTGTGCCACGGCCCCCTCTTTAACCTCGTGTGAAATCCCGATGTCATCTGCTGTTTCTTGTTATTTCCAATTAGTCATGTGTATTTAAGTCCGCGTTCAAGTATGTTTCCCCAGTCCTGTCATTGAAGTCTATTCCATGTTGTGCCTCGTTTGCCAGCAATAAACCCTGTGTTCTTGGATTTCCGTCTGCCTGACCCTGATTCTGCTCTCCCTGCTCGCTCGTCCTGCGTGCCGTGTGACAAAATTACTGTTTTGATAAATGTGCTTAGATGTGTTTAGTATATCCTCTTCTTGTTTGATCTTGTTAATGTTGTGTTTAAATGTTAAAAAAAAAACATATTTAGGTGTAATTTTTTGGGGCCGGGAACCAATTAATTGGTTTTCCATTATTTCTTATGGGGAAAATCCGATCAGAACTTGACCTTTTTAGGATTCAAACCCGAGTTCTGAACGGATTAAGTTCAAGTTCTGAGGTACCACTGTATATTACATAATACATTTCAATACAAAGTATGAAGCTTTATTACATAGACAGAAAAATATCGTTGCTAATGAGCAAAAAAATAAACAAATTGATAGTAACATACATTCTTATTCATGCCTCCTCAGTGTGTCACCCGAATGGAACTGGATTCCAGTGCAAATGTGAAGAGCAGTTTGCCTGGTCATATAACAGCTGTGTTAAATACACACCTTGTGATGACATCATTGACGGCACATGCGGATGCATCAATGCTGTACCGCCTGATGGACAGTTCTGCCACTTTGAACCAAGTAATATGTTTTTTTCAGTACTTTTAAGGCTTTTATGATTAGGCAACCAAAGCTTCTAATCCAGGGTTTAGTGACCTTTATGACCTTAATGAAGTGTCATTTAAAATTTTCTTATTGATCAGTGTGCCATATCAGCCTAAAAGTCTGAAATGAGTTTATGATAGGACATCACTATGAACAGTTTTGATAAATCAGGATTTTTATTCCATTCATACAGGCTGTATACATATTAAAGTAATTTTGTTAAAGAAACATACTTTTTAAAATCAGGACACATTATTAGCCTATGACTGAACACACTGAACTTTCTCTTACACCATTACAGAGAGGTTATTTTGAGTTACAAATGACACAAAGTGCTGTGGCAAAATATGCAATATTAGTAACTTCAGAGTTGAATGTTCAATAATTTTACTTTGGGAGCAGATGTCAGTAAAGATCAAAGTGCATTATACAAATACAAGTAGATATTACACAGAAATACTGTCATCCTCACATATGGGGACTAAGCAAGAATACCGACCTCATCATGAAAAACAAATCCACTTCAAAAATGTGCAAAAACATGAGAAAACCATGTTCAGCCATGACAAATAATGTCAAGCAAACAATAAAAATAATAATGCTTACTGCTTAGTGTGACCCCCGGCCCTGCTAACCCTTGCTAAGCTCCGTTATGTGGGGGTCGTATGTCAAAACTTCAGGCTGCACCCATTCCGGGGAGAGATCATTTGTCAAATGGCAGCGAGGGGCCAGGCATGGCCTTCATATTTTACAAATATCTATGATGACCTGAACACAGTTACCAAAACAAATGCAGTGTTCCTGAGACACCTGGACTGTCCAGTACTGACACGCTTCGTTATTCAGTGAGCAGTGCAATAGTTTGTTTCGGTAGCATGACTTTTACCACTGGCACTGCGAAAGTCTTTGAGGTTGTAGGCTTGCTTGTCACACCTGGATAGGGCACATTCGAGGGATTCTGCCTCGTCAGCCTTGACTTTTCGTGCTTCTTCTCAAAATGCCGCTTAACGCTTGACATTCCACAGGTAACATAGGCGGGAACGCCTGGACCTTTAATTTCGATTTTGAAACTACTGCCGTTGGTCAAGTAAACAAACAGAGATTGCACTTTGTGTGACCTCTTTCTTTACTTCGTCGATTCCTCTATTGTAGTCCAGTACTCTGATGACTATAGAACTATGAGTGAAGCCCGTTCTTCTGTGCCAGATTGAAACTACTGGAGTTACCATTAGTAGGCTACTCTCTAGTAGGTATTGAATTTGAGAAACAGAAGAGCCAAGATTGTCACTATGCAATAAGCCAACGAAACTGAAAACAGGTTGTGCATCAGGCAATGACTGTGAAAGAGGAGACTTGGCCTGGAAAAAAAGGAAAAAAAAAGAAATTCTCTCTTATGCACTTATTTGAGTTTCACTGGTTATGTTGTCATGTGCCACCATAAGTACCTTATGTTGATGACCCTTATTCTAATCCATATATCGGTTTTCCAAACACTGATCGTAGTTAGTCTTGAACCAGGGCTTTGAGCCTATCCCAGGAACATCCCGGGGTACATCCAGGACTGTATTCCAATCCAAAGATTATACAATAAATACATTTTCATTTTCAACATCCGGTGCATTGTTTCATAAATTCTTCCTGCATGCATTTTTCATGTTGCTTCTCTTACAGGTCTTGATACTCCATCATACTACATAGGTGACATTGATGTGACAGTGTCGGACACTGCAATGATCGATCATCTCAGGAACCTTCTCAAAGAAATGCACTATCCATACAATATCACTACTGACACTGAACTAATTACTGTGAACCTAACAACAGGTAAGAATCTCATACAGATTGCTCATTCGCCAATTAATTTTGGCATTGCCTAAATTTTCCTTTTCAGAATTACATTATCCTGCAGATGTTCTATTATTTTTATGAAATATGTAGTCAGTTTCAATACAAATTATTAATCCATCTTTTTTCATTTATTAATTGTTTCAAAGAAATTATAAATACAATTTCATGGTAACAAACATTCTTATTCATGCCTCCTCAGTGTGTCACCCGAATGGAACTGGATTCCAGTGCAAATGTGAAGAGCAGTTTGCCTGGTCATACAACAGCTGTGTTACATACACTCCATGTGATGACATCATTCATGATACATGTGAATGCATCAATGCTGTACCGCCTGATGGACAGTCCTGCCACATTCAACCCCGTAAGTATGCTCATTGATTACACTTCATTTTATTTATTGTTCTTTTAATGTTATTCTATGTTTGCCTTCTATAGTGCATATTTTATTTTACACAATCCACATCCATTACCTCCCATTCTACTTGTGGGTGGCATAGCTTGCAATGGCAAAAAAAAAAATTTGATCAGGGGATGGTGCAACAGGAAACCCTGTGACTTCACCCCTATGGTTACTGTATGTGCAGATGTTAAAAAACAGCAGTCTGACAGTAACACAGGAATTAAGAAAGGAATGCACAAAGAAACAACTGAGACAGTTCCATCCATCCATCCATTTACTTCCGCTTATACAAATTATTAATCCATCTTTTTTCATTTATTAATTGTTTCAAAGAAATTATAAATACAATTTCATGGTACCAAACATTCTTATTCATGCCTCAGTTTGTTACCCGAATGGTACTGGATTCCAGTGCATATGTGAAGAACAGTTTGCCTGGTCATACAACAGCTGTGTTACATACACTCCATGTGATGACACAGTTCCCTCAGCTAAATGAAAACCACACATCCTGTAATAAAATAAACTGATCAGCAATTTACCTCTACTTGTTTTAATTTTCTTTAGTGTTACCCACGACATTTGAAAACCCAGATAACTAATGAAATTATCATAAGGGACGGCTCACAAGCTATTTTGCTTTCAATGAATTTGGATCACATCCAGTAATATCTGTGCTCTCTTTATATAATTAGCTTTTATTTAATTTTATTTATTTTGCTTTTATATAATGGTTCATATAATGTTATGTCACATCAGCATATGCAGTGAACTGAATATGGCTGCACCAACATGGTGGCACAATACTATTGCAACCCTCCCAGCGTGCCTCTAGTGGTCTGGCACCATCGGCAAATGCCTAGTTTTCCACAAAGCAGGATTTCCCAGTTGGCTGGATAACTTAAGCCAAACATGACAACTGGCCAATCGGAAGAGAGGTTGGTGACATTCCTTTTAGACAACGTTTACATTATACTTAAGTTATCCGGCTAATGAAGAAATTCTGCTCTGTGGAATACCCCCCTGGACTCTGCTTGGGGCGATAAATTAATCACATTTGATTCAAAGACACTAATTGGCCAAATTTATGTTGCTTTGTGCATATCTTGTATCAGGAAATTCATAGTTTTAACGTGACGTCTTCACAAGACTGCTCACCTGGAGGGCAAAACAATGCTATATTCTACTTCCTGACACTCATTTTTTTTTTATCTAGCTGCATAGGGATCACAAGTACACAAAACTGGTCAATTGTTCTCAAATCTTTGTTTCCTGTTGATAGGTGATCTAAATATTCTTTGCTTGGAACAGATAGAAAATTAACCGACCTGTGCTACAAGTCCATGGAATGTCCAGTGTTGGCCGCTGTGTTGGAAGGGTTTCTTCACCTTCCAGGTCTCCAAGCCAGTCACGTGACTAAATACTATGAATTGGCTGGACTGATGCACTGACTGGGTGATTTATGTAGCGCCTCGGTAAAGACAGTATTTGTGTCCAAATTCCATGGCTGCATCCCATGAAGGACGCAGTCTAGGAAGGCATAGCCTTAGTAGGCAGCGTTCTTCAAGGTTGAACAGAAAGCATTGTCAAATAGGATAGGCTACCCGTCAGCAGCTGTTCGTGCCCTTATCCTTGAGCCATGAAATGCCCCTCCTATCTTGGGATGTGTTGGACTGCGAATGAGCCATCAGGTGGTTCCTTTGCAAAAGGGGGCTACATTCCTAGATCGCATTTGAAGGAGCCTTCCAAATGGGACAGCCTTGTCATGCAACTGCGATGCATACCGTCTTCAAATGCAGTCTAAAGAGGGTGCAGCCCCTGAATTTGGACATAGCTATTAAGGGAGAGAGGGGATGAACATGAAGTTAATCCCCCCCCCCCCCCAAAACATATTTCATATATTACACCTTATTGTGCATTTTAAACACAGACACATACTTAAAATAAGTAATTATTGTTCATTAAAATCACCACCAGGGACAGTGGCGTCCGAGAACGCCCTACTGGCCAGCTGTGGCTGCTGAAAGGACAGATATAGACTCATTGGCCACTGTATTGGGTACACATTGTTGTTACCAGATAGAATCCAATGCTGCTTTCATAACTAGTTTGCATTGCCTAGAATTTACACTGAGTAGAATTTCCTCTTAGCTAATTGGCCAGTTGGTGTTAATTTAATGTTGTTTGTAAGCATACCTTCTGCCTGAAATATGCCCTTGGTTTTGTTCCACTTTCATAAAACTTCATTATCATTATTCATGTTGTCTTCTGCACTCCATATTACATACACTCCATGAACAACAGCATTGGGACACCTTGCCTTTACACCTACAGGAACTATTATGATGTCCCATTCTAAATCCATAGACATTAGTATGGAGTCATCGTACCCACCCGTTGCCTGCTAGAACAGTGTCTGTGGGAATTTTTGCCCATTCATTCAGAAGAGCATTTGTGAGGTCAGGCACTGATGTTGGTCCTGAAGGCCTCCTGGCTCACAATCTCTGTTGTGTTCGATGGGGTTGAGTCAGGGGTCTGTGCAGGTCAGTTAAATTCTTCCACACCAAACTCACCCAATCATGTCTTTATGGACCTTGCTTTGTGCACTGGGGCACAGTCATGCTGGAACAGAAAATGGTCTCCCCCTGTTCCCATAAAGTTGGATGCAGAAGCATTAAGAGTTCCCTTCACTGGAACTAAGGGGCCTAGCCCAACCCCTGAAAAACAACCCCATACCATTATTCCTCCACCAAACTTTACAGATGGCACAATGCAGTCAGGCAGGTAAGGTTCTCCTGGCATCTACCAAACCCAGACTCATCCATCAAACTGAGACAGAGAAGCGTGATTCATCACTAAACGGAACATGTTTCCACTGCTCCAGAGTCCAGTGGCGGTGAGCTTTACACCACTCCGTTCGACGCTTGGCATTGTGCTTGGTAATGTGAGGCTTGCATGCAGCTGCTTGGCCATGGAAGCTCATTCCATGAAATGCCTGGTGCACAGTTTTGCGCTTGGGTTAATGCCAGAGGAAGCTAGGAGCTCTGCAGTTACTGAGTCAACAGAGCTTTGGCGACTATGTGCCTCAGCCCTCAGTGACCACGTTCTGTTACTTTATGTGGTCTGAGTTTGTGTAGTTTCTTTGCAAAAATACTACTCACAGTTGACCATGGAATATCTAGCAGGGAAGAAATTTCACAAACTGACTTATTGCGAAGGTGGCATTCTATAACTTTCTTGAATTCACTGAGCTCTTCAGAACAACCCATTTTTTTCACCAATTGTAAACCTGACTACATGACTAGGTGCTTGATTTTATACATCTGTGGCAATGGGTCTGAATGAAACACCTGAATTCAGTAATTAAGAGGTGTGTCCCAGTACTTTTGTCCATATAATGTACTGTATATGCTCAATAGCTAGGTAGTGTCTGAGGATGTTCTTACCTAACCAGAGCTGGGTTTCCTGAAAGCTTTGTAATGCTAATTAGTTTATTATCTAGCATTTAAGATAAATCACTAATGAGCAAGTGTTTCTCATATCCTTTCATAACTAAAGAATTTTGTAATTTTGCTGGTAAGTTTACAAGTGCTCCAACCCACTCCAATTACTATACGTTACTATCATTCTTTATTTATTCTTTTACCTGCTGTCCCACCTACGGGAGGTATTTTCTGCAAAAACTAAAATGAAAATGATAAAATTAAAATGCAATCTCCACTTTGCCATTTAGTTTTCAAAATCTATAGCTCTGCCCACTGCCCACTCCAATTAACATATATTTCCATGTTGTGAACTTGAAAATGGAAAAGCAAAGTAGGAAATGAAGAGTCAAATTGGAAAATGAAAAGATAAAAATGTTACTTAATTAAATTTTTATTTTTTTATTTAAGAAAAGAAACACTGGGTATGCATACTTTTAGAAATGTTCAAATAAACAGTTAATTTCGTTTGTGAATAACTGTATTGTGTGAAACATTGACTTGACTTGTGTCACTTTCAAAAAGCCTCAGTATCAATGTAATTTTCCTGGTTTCCTCATGTTATCCCCCAAAGTACTCCAAAATATAACACATTTTTACAGCCGGAGATGTCTGAGAATGTTTTTAGCTAACCAGACTTTTTCTATTCCTTCCACGACCATTGAACTACCTAGAATCTCCTCTTAGCTAATCATCCAGTTGTCCTTTCTGTCTTCTGTAGCTCCAGTGACAACCAGAACCACTCCAAAAGCTAAGACAACAGTTGGTATGTATCAGTCTTCGTCAGATTCTGTCATTGGTTTCCAGATCTGAGTCATTACATTTAAGAAATATGAAATATTATGTGTGCAGAAATTAAACATATTCTTAGCTAATTGGACATT